AAGCAAACACTCTTCAACAATATACAAATATGTATGTCCCAGTGGCGGATCCAGAACTTTTCATAAGGGGGGGCCCGCTGACTGACCTAAGGGGGGCCGCTTCAGTCACGCTTCAGTGATTCCCTATATAATCAACCAAATTTTTCCCACGAAAGGGGGGTCCTCCTATGTGTCCCATTTGCAAAAGAGTTATAGAAACAATCAAATATCTGCCATCAAAATCTGAAATTATTGTGTGCATTTATTATTGTGGTATTTGAAGTATGGAAGACTAATTATTGCGATTCCAGGAAAATCTGCAGACAGATAAATGTATCAGATATCAGAATGCGAGTTATTATTATTGCAATACTCACCCAGTCACATTATATTATTCACATTAATAAAAACATTGCAATAATTTCTGAATTTACAGTAATGAAAAGCATTAAGAACAATTACTGACAAGATAACCTGACTTTTTACATATGATTTTTGAGTAATTTTTTATTATATGATTTGTTTGTGAAATTTTGTCAGGGTTTTTTATTTCATTTTTTTTCCTTCTTTAAATACTGATTCATTACTGAAACAGAACAATAATATTTTTATAAACTGATAATAACAACAAGCAAGGAAGATTTTCATAATATGTCTAGATTAGGCCACATATAATTTTATTTGAACCAAACAGCTGATTCTGTTTCTTCACTAAAATAAAGCTTGTAACGTCATCATGATCAATTTTTTTTTCAAATTATCAAAACCAAAACTAATAATTTAGATTTTTTTTTCTCTCTAACAATGATATATGCAATGAAAATGACAAATAAAGTATACATAATTATAGACTTACTATGGTGTCAATATAATTCTTTCCATAACAATTATCCACAGTGACAACAATGCCCACATATCAATAGAATGCTTTTTTTTTCACGGAAATGTGTGATAAAATTCCCAAATCATCCACTTCAACTGAATAACAGAATCCTTTTAATTTAACCACAGCACCATACAAATCATTTCTCCATAAAACTTGAAAAAAGTCACTTTAGGGTTGGCCACACCTTCACTTCAAAATTCTTTAAAAATCACGATTTGTTGTGATTATTATCAAATTTTCCTCCATTATACAAATCTACCCAAATATACATGTGCTCTCAGACGGGTATTTAATTCTGTATTTTCAATTTAAAGAAAATCATTCAGGTGTGACAACAATATAGACTGAAGAGTTAAATGACATGGAATTTATCCTCAAACATCCTCCGATCTAATCAGATTTCACCTGTGTCAAATGTTGTTGTTTAATTTTAACGATTTCAACTTCCCGTCAAATTGACAAAAGTTGTTACATCAAAGACATTACCACAGATAAGGTCACTATATAAAGTGGCTCAGGTCAATTAATCTAAACACAATTGATTTAACTTTTATCTAGGTTCTCAAATATATGTTCAAATTATTAAATATTTTGGAATTTGATATTCAAATTTATTTTTAAAATCCATATCTTTACATTTAAAAAAGTAAATTATTTACAAGAGAAAAAATAAGTCCTCCTGACTCTTAAAAATATCCTCTTTACACTACCAAAAAAATGCCTCAAAGGGAAACTAAGGCCATACAAAAAGACAGGAATATTTAAGATTTTCTCCTAAAGAAAAATAGGGAAGAATACTTTATCATTTTGCTCAATTATTTTACCTGAGTATAAAGAGAGACCTGCAATATTATTGTAAGGATTGACAGTCAAACATGCCAATACACGTATAAACTTTATATACAAAATATGATCGGTAGCAAATAAAAGGAATTTTTATTTTGTCTTATCTTTAGAGACAACTGAGTCAAACTAATGACATTGATATATTTCATATCTCTTAGGACATATGGTCCTCAAATTCAAGAAATATTCTACTATACATTTTGCAAAAATTCAATGATGGGTCATACACCATATACATGTAACAGCTTCATCTAGCATAAAAAGAAGACAAGTATACCAAGAAGCAAATTTCAAAGTGAACCATTATTCTTCAGAGCATGCTAGTGACTTAGAGGCAGGGCTTCCAAAATTATTTTTAGCCAGCCGGACATTTTATATATTATCCCGATTTTAATCCTTTAAGACTAAATAAACAAAAGGCAATTATGGTAATCAGTTGCCGAGTTGGCCATCCCAATGATTGATATTTAAAAAAAACGATATTAAACTTTCTTTGATTCAAATTCGAAGTTCTGATGTAAACCGTTAAATTGGCAGTGCATCATCCGAAGTGTGCAACATCAGCGTACTTATATCTGCCTTAGACTCTTTATTTGTGCAAAATAACGTTGTCCAAACTTTACTTTCGTTTTATAAATCTGAAACCGGATGTTATCTTGACAATGGTAAAACATGGACCAGAGACGGATACGTAAATTCCGTGTACGTTTGCAAAGCATGAATGAGTGTAAGTAGCTCATTCTACGTTATTTCTTCAAGAAAATATTCGAAATAAACGTGAGATAAAGGTATCAATGACAATTTAAGCATTTTTTTTTAAAGAAATTAGGATGCATACTTAAATTTCACACCTGCGCACATGCACATGCGCACACGACGTGTACTCTGGTTCAAACAACGTGGTTATGACGATTTTTCATTTTCACCTCTTTAATTTTTTCATCAAATCTTATTTGTAAATGTATTTCTGATAATTTAAATCTTTTTGACTAAATTAATTAGATGCAAACCGGTGAAATGTAAGAAAATAACTTTGAATAGACCGATCAATGTCTGGTTCAAAATAGTTTACCTGTCACCTGAACAGGTAAATTTCAGCTGTTCGACAACTAATTAGCCTTGATTAAAATGAGAAGGTATTAAAGTAGGGGTTGTTTTGATAGTACTTAATGATCATGTCACTTTTATGACCGGAAATGTGTGGCTGTTAAAGGCAAAAGGTTGGGTCAAAAAGATCGTGAATTATGTTAAAATGACCGTCTCTTAAGAAAGCCTTGAAAAATAAAAAGTAGATGACCGTTTCGTGCTTTGCCCAGCCGGACTTTTACCGGACATTATACAAATGTCCGGAATATATGACCGTTTTGGAAGCCTTGCTCAGAGGTATGAATTGCATAACCATATGAAGTTTGGTGTCTTTTATGAAGCAGCTATGACTTATTCAAAACATGTCACGTTCTGGCACAATCAGTTTAAACTTGTTGCATCATATCAACTTAAGACTTATAGTTGCTGGGGTAGGACATCTACATTATGTTAGCATTCCACGATCAACATACTGTGCATTCATTCTTCTTTGCTGAGTGCTTATTTTTTGTGGATTTCGTTGGTATAGTGAACCACAAATTCAAGTTTTCAACAATTTACAAATTTACTAAAGGCTTGCATGTATAATTTTGTAAAATCAAGATATCCAGTATTCACTAAAACACCATTTTCCCTCAACCCATGAATAATTTATGCCCAAAAAAATAAATGAATCTATAGTACATTAACAATACAGAAAATTTATCAATATGAGTTTAATAATTACTTACCTAGTCTTTCATTGTCTGGTACATGGTAAGAAGTAGTAGACAAAATCTTCCACATCACTTTTGTTGTTCTATCCTCTTCAGAAAATATTTTCTCCATGTGACACAATAGACTAATTCAGAAGTTGTGCTGAAGTATTTGAAGGTATTTTATTCTGAATGTTACTGGTTTGTCCAGACGCAATTTACCACAATGATAAGACTGTACAATGTGACTGCCGAGGCAAAAGTATAATTTCTGAACATTTCCATTCTGCGTTCTGATAGGTTCACAGATTTTTATATAAATATTCCTAGTATAGAATTCATTGAATTGCTGTCAAATTGTCATCCCTACCATGTTTGATAATGAGTATATATTCAAATCATCGATTCCATTTTGAAACTTGAATTTTGACATCTTTTGATGTTGTATACAAGCTCAGCAGCTACACCCATCTTTCACAAAATTTTGTTTCCGAATGTATTATTTCGATTTCCTGAATCACATGATCTATTTCAACACTAAACCGCTGAATCAAATTACATAGATATGTGAAATTTGATTCACATTTCATCAATTTATTATACATGAGCAGTTAAAATATGTTGACATAATGGATTTTATATCAACTTCACTGTTAAGTGAAACATGATCAAGTTATTTCAATAATAAAAATGATCATCTTCAGAAACAAATGATTATCTATTGCAATAGGGTTCGGAATTTGACCTTCACCTCATATTTTCAATTCATCTTCAGAAACAGACAATTATGTATTGCAATGCGGTTCAGAATTTGACCTTCACCTTATGTGTGTAATTCATCTTTAGAAATAAACGATTATGTATTGCAATGGGATTCAGAATTTGACCTTCACCTTATGTGTGTAATTCATCTTCAGAAACAGACTATTATGTATTGCAATGGGATTCAGAATTTGACCTTCACCTTATGTGTATAATTCATCTTTAGAAACAAACGATTATCTATTGCAATGGGATTCAGAATTTGACCTTCGCCTTATGTTTGCAATTCCTTTAAAGTAATATTAACCAACTTACATTCCCAGGTACTTTTTAAGCATTTAGCCTTTTAAAGCATATTTCCTGGCAATACTTTCTTGTTTTGTTTGATTTTATAATTTTATTTACCTCCCCTGATTTTACTTAAAATTCCAAAACACTACTACCATTAAAAACATGCCTCCCAAAATTATTTTTATATTTGATTTTGCTTAGCTATTTCTGTAATACAAACTATAGAATGGGAAATTTTTCAAGTTTTTTTTTCATCATTTCCCGATTATGACAAAAACTGAGAAGATATCGTTTCGGGTAAATTTGATCTGTATATAAGATCTATCAGGGTTTAGAAAAATGTGAAAACAAAAGGTCACAAACAGGCTTGATTGAAGAAATCATTAAATTTAAACTTTGAAGATTTCACACACTTTACAGATGCTATTGGGTATAGCCATCTCCTATCTCTATACCTGTTAAGTTCTTTCTGTGTTCTGTAAGCCATAGCTAGCTCATTATCCTCATTCACAATATTATCATTTCCACCATAGGACTCCTTAGCTATAGCATGTGTTGTTATACTCTTTTCAGCCATCATGGCACGGAGTTGTAGACACTCTTCACGTCGTCTCTCCAACTCATCGTTCATAGCCTCAAACTGGTCTGTAATGTTATATAAACATTATTGGAATAATTAAATTTTTTCTACTTATATATATATGTGATGGAAATTGTAAATTTTTCTTTCTTTTTAATATTTAATATATAAATAATAATGAAAGAATTAAAATTAAAACACTTCATATATCTACTAAACACTTCTCTGGAATATACTTACATTGATCCATACGTTAGAAAGTAGAGCTATTTCCATTTTCAGGTTAAACTGGTTTGCGGTCAATGATCAAGGACTACTTATTTTTGTTTATGCATTATTTTTTAATGAATAAAGAGATTTTTTTTACATCCATCTCAATTTATTTGAAGGAAAATAATAAAAAGAAATCTATCCAAAACTCAAACTTTCGAATTTGGCATGTCCTGTTATATCAGGGAACCAGTATTGTACTCACATGGGAAGCTCCTCTTATCATTCAAGTCATAAACTGTCAAATTATCTGCAGTTAGTAATACACACAGATATCTGATTCTTCGGTCAATATAAAATTATTTTTACATTCAAAGAAACATTTATCAAAACATGCATGTCAAAGGGATGCAGATAAACAGGGACCCAGCAAACAGATTTTCAAAAAAAATCTAAGGTTACTACCAGAAAATTCCACTTGCTTGAATTGCTACTTAACCATGTGACTCCTTACTCAAAAAATGTATTGTTTTTTTTTTATCTGATTTTTTGTGAAAAGATTTTGGCTTCAAAGAAAATATACAGATATATGGAGTTCTTTTTTATTCACTTCAGCCAAGCTGGATTATTCAGGAAAAAATCTCTAATCTGTATCTGTGAATCAATAATAACTTAACATTTTCAAATGTGCTTTTTGGTTTATATGTAAAGGTAAATGCTGGTAATGTAGATAATATTCTGTGTAATGATATGTTGTTTCAGGTAAATGCAGGTAAAATGGAAATATGGAAAAGGGAGTGCAGCATTTAATCAAGAATTCTTATTGTTACATAAAAGTTAGCTAAATCTCCTTTTCTCGAGATAGAAACAACCTTAAGCAATCTCAACCACATTTCCAGCATTAAAACACTCTTGGCGAAAAAAAATTCTTGAGCTCTTTAAATTCAAAAAGCAAATCTTATATCTATTATAATTCAAATTGCAAAAAAGGAAATAAGTTGGATGCAATGCATTGTCAGACTGGATTCTTGTCTTTTCCATCATAGATTAATAAATTTTCAACGAAGATGAAATATTTCATGCTTTTTTCAATTTAATTAAAATATTAAAATTTTTATTTTGAAAACTCAGATGTATTTGTTTTTAATCATAATTTGATTGAAACCTGCATGCAAGAATCCAGTCTATGGTGTATGTTATCTGGAATAATACTTTGGTCAAAATGCAAGGGGCAGATAACTCTTGTCTTACCCAGAAGTATTCGGACTGACCGACTGCTGTCTTTACCAAGGTCTATCCAAGTAAGGGAGAATTAGTTAATTGTTACCATGGTGACCAGACCAGTCAGGGAGAATTAGTTAAAATAACCAATAGGTGATGGTAAACAAACCATACAGGAAAATAAAAGTAAAAGAAAATTCTGTTTGTCAATAAAACATCTGTTCTCCAAATAAAACATTGGATGCTTAACTAATCTGCCTTCAAACATGCTTAACACTTCAACATTCTTTATGTGCCTGTCATAAGTCAGGAGCCTGTAGTTCAGTGGTTGTCGTTGGTTCATGCCTGTCATAGTTGTTTTTTTTGTAAATTGCTATGTTATGAAGGCCATTAGTTTTCTTAATTGAATTGTTTCATATTTTTCAGGCCTTTAATAGCTGACTATAATTATGGTATGGGTTTTTCTCATTGTTGAAGGCTTACAGTTTCCAATAATTGCTTACATCCACTCCATTTGAACTTTGGTGGATAGTTGTCTCATTGGCAATCATATCACATCTCATCGTATAAGACAAATTTCTCTTTAAATTCATAATTTGCTTTTTTTGTATTATGTTAAATCCATGAAGACTTATCACTTCACTTAATACAGATAATTAAGTAAATCATGAAAACAGTTCTGTCATACAAGAAAGTTCCTGCAAGAACTTGATCAAAAATCCCAAGAAGTCTCTATTAAAAGAAACTGTCATCTGTTTCCAAGTATCAATAAAAGATTGAAATAACAAAAAATATAAAATTATCTAATAAAATCTAAAATGAATCTAACAACATTTACCCAAACTTTACAGAAATCTTTACAACCATTGGCTTAATCAATTTTATTAAAGGTCGATTACTTGAACCATATGTTGTTTTTTTTGGACTCAGTAATTTTGAACTAGAAAAGTTCTAAGATTAAGTATCTTCAGTCTAAGAAAGAAACCTACCCATTAATTCTTTACCAGAGGGAGACACTTCTTGTTGTGTAAAGTCAGTACAGTTTAATGATAAAGTATCTTCAGTCTAAGAAAGAAACCTACCCATTAATTCTTTACCAGAGGGAGACACTTCTTGTTGTGTAAAGTCAGTACTATCAGTGATAGCCTTCATCAATTTACCAACTTCTCTCTTTAACTTGTCATTCTCGTTCTCGAGTTCCTGCATCTGAAAATAACATATAAATACAAACATCAGCAATGTATTCTTTATAAACAGGAGGTCATATATTATGTCTATTCTGGATTAACTTATTTTCGTGTATACCAATTTTCGTGGATTAGGGGAATATTGCATTTTTGTCGATATTTGATTTCGTTAGATTTAGCAGTCTAAATATATGCCAACATTATTATCAATCCACAGTGTGACATTAGGTTCAAGGAACATGAAAATAATCTGATTGACAAATAAACATGGATCTCGTGCAAATATTTTCTGAAACTGTGATGATCAAATGGTAGTTTGCTTATACAATTGAATCAAAATTAAGGTAAAATTCCAAGTAATGCTTAGAAGACTTTTGTAGAACTGATTTCAATTTGTTTGAACTAATTCTGGTTTTGTTTCTTTTGACAAGTTAACAAAAAATTAATTAAAAACTGGCCAAAGGGAGGTAATTCAAACTGAAAAGTAGTATATATTTTTCCTGAGAGGATAACATGTCTCATTTCTAGCTATAAAAGAACAATCTGCTATTTTGAAGACAACAAGTTTAAATATCCAATTTTTTTTGTCTTCATTTTCAATGTATGTAATGTTCAAATTCTTTTCAAAATACATTTTTTTGCTTTTATACAAATAAGTATATATATAAGATTGGATATCTGTATATCATTAAAAACAGTCAAACTTGCAACAAACCATAATCTATTTAATCTAGAGTTCAAGGTAGGATTTATATCATATAAAAAAAACTACGACATAAAAATAGGTAGATAAATACTATCTCTTATAAAATCAACAATACTATATATCAATGTAAACGACCTTGAATGATTTTGATGTTTTTAATTGGACCTTGTTTCATCTTAATTCTTATACTGACAGTTTTTTTTTTTATGTATTTGGCCTTAGAAGTATAAATGACCTCAAATTTAGGACTGATATCAGCTATATAAAAATAACTAATACATGAAAACAGACACATAAATATTATCTCTTATATATTAACAATACTATTTTATTAATATAAATGACCTTGACTTTGATTTTGACTATTTCTGTTATGGTTTATTTATTACAATTCATTCTTTAAAATTAGATTTTTTTTAATCAATTAACCGAGACAAGTAAAGTATATAAAATCTTAATAGAAATGAAATTAAAAACTGACTGGTCAAGGGGAAGTAATTCACATTGAAAAGTAGTGCGTTGTCTCTAGCGGATAATTGTCTCAATGACAATCAATCACACCAGGCATTTAAGTCATAAAACTTTACTCAGTCCTTGGAGGAAAAATTTTGTGCTTGAAACACCACAAAAATGAACCAATAAAAATACTTGAAAATTAACTGTAACCCAGACCTTTCGGTCATAAATATTTCATGCACAATTATTGCACCCGTACTCAGACTCAGAAATCAACCAATAAAAAAACTGGATACAGCGTTTTAAATAACATATTTTGTACTTGGAGTACTGAGTAAAGTTGTATGACCGAGAACCCAGATCTCCTTATTCTTTTACTGATGAAGACTACTCCAGAAATGTTTGCAATGTGAACTCAAAAAGGCATAGATTATATGACCAATACTAAAATATGCTGTATAATATATTATTTTACTTATATTACAATATATATCAAAATTAGATTGTAAGTAAAAAAGATTAAAATATACAGAGGTCAGTTGGTTAATATCTACAAGTAAAAAAACTACAACATTCTGCTTAGTATAAAAAGTCTACAATGAACTATCACCATCTGTCATTCTAGCTAAGTAATAGCAATAGAAAAACAAAGGATATGGGGTATCCATCCATGACACAAAATCAGTACATGCACAGCAAAAAAAAAAAAAAAAAAAAAAAAAAAAAAAAACACAAAAAGCAAAGGAACAGCGCTTTTATTGCTGTTCTTCATCTCAAAGTCACAGTGAGGCCTTCAACACGGAGCAAAAAACTCTCACCTCACTGCAAGTTTAAGACGGCCCCTAGCACCGGCTTGAGTGGACTTGCATGTTCCCCATTCACTTATTGTAAAAAAATTAAATCCCATCCGAAAAGTTATCTTTGGGATGTTCACAACTCTGTTTCAAAATAACAAGTTTTTTAAAAGACTGTTCTAAATTGATAGTAAAAACAAGAATGTGTCCATAGTACACGGATGCCCCACTCGCACTATCATTTTCTGTGTTCAGTGGACTGTGAAATTGGGGTCAAAACTCTAATTTGGCATTAAAATTAGAAAGATCATATCATAGGGAACATGTGTACTAAGTTTCAAGTTGATTGGACTTCAACTTCATCAAAAACTACCTTGACCAAAAACTTTAACCTGAAGCGGGACAGACGGACGAACGGACAGATGAACGAACAAAACGGACGCAAGGACTGAAAAACATAATGCCCCTCTACTATCGTAGGTTGAGCATAAAAATAACAGACCTTAAAATGCAGAAAAAAATGACAGATCCATGTCCTGGTATTTGAGATATAAGCCATTCAAATTTGACAGGAAATGATTTTCTCTAGATTTTTCTTCCATTTGACATTGGAATGTTTATTCTTTCAAAAACTATGAAAAAATAACAAAGATCTTAGAAGATTTTCAAAAATGGCTTTTTTAACTACAAGTAATAAAATTATAACAAGAAAAGTAGGAGTTAGCAGGCAAAATTTTCATTGGCACTACATGGATACATGAATATCTGACACAAAGTCAAAAATAAGAGTCGCAAACTTCCTTAAGTTAAAAAGAATGATAATTGCAATTTCAGTTGTAAACAAATTATGTGATGTCTAATCAGTAAGTTTACATCATTGTAAAGATAGAAATAATTCATGCTTTCAAAAATGTTTCAGTTTATTTAAAAGATAGGTAAAATGATTGGACCACTACAATTTTGTTGTGTGATGTATAAAAAATGTCCTTTTTCTGTCCCAAACCTTTTTCTTACAATGACAAATAGACTTGAAAATGTATGAGAAGAAACTGAAAGAGTACAAAAAATATTTATACCAGATTTAAAAGTATTAGAAGCAAACAAAAGCAAGGCAAGCCAAGCTTTAACTTTTTGTCCTAGTGAGTAAAAAATAAGAATTTAATATTTTCCAATGGTGTACAGATATCATTATTTTATCAATTAGATAAAAAAATCTAAAATAAATAGAGTTATAATTCTTTGAAACTTTTGCCTTTTTTAGTTCTAGGTTTTTATATTAAAGTATACCACAAAACATCAAATCGTCTCTAAAAGAATAAAAAAGGGAATTTTGTTTGGTGGCAATTACTCAAAAAACAACTGAACTGATTACAAGTTTAAATGTTCCTTTGGTGCTATACTTATTTATGGAATCTTACAAGATAATGTACATATACAGATCTATAAAAAGATTAAAATATATGATCCTTGTTTCTGGCCCATGCAAATGAATAAAGAAGTAAATAAAAAAAATAATGGATGGATATGCATGTGTCAACAATCCAATGAAATACAGATTGGTAAGTATTAGTTGAAATGGCTACACACACTATGCTATACTACATCTAGAAAGTTAGAAGAATATAAATCCACTATCCACACAGTTATACACACACACCACCCACTGTATACCTTCAGATTATTATAAGCAAATTCCGGTGTTGTTATTTGGAATTTTGTCAATTCGTCATCATCATCGTCTCGTTCATCTAACTCGCTCCTCAGACGAGATTTTGTTAACTCTAGATCCTTGACACGTTTTTGTAGTTTAATGACGAGTTGGACATCGTCAGCATTCACCAACTGTTTCTGTTTAAAGTTACATAGTTTTTATGATTTCAATAAGATATTTACTAACTAAGGCCAATTAAAATTAATTGATAGATTTTTCATCCCCGCCCGCCCCTCTGAAATCGTTCCGCCCCAATTTTTTTTATTTTGAAAAATTTACGATTTCCGGATTTTGTTCATTTTCGTTACCGGTAACTGTCGATAATTTCGTTTCATTAATAACTTCCTGTTTCAAATTTTGGTTTTTGCATTTCTTTGTATGTTTGATTCGTTATACATGTATATACGTGATAGAACCTTATTATTAGAACACGTCACAAGAGCGTTTCATATCTAATAAAAAATAAAAAATAAAATCCTCCCACCCACCCACCCCATTTTTTTCAAAAATTTGGATGAAAATCTACTAATTAAATTTACTTGGCCTAACATTCCCAAACCAACAACATGAATTAATTTCAGTAATTTTCTGAAAAATCATATTCTAATAATTCCATCTTACCATAAGGTTTCCTAGTAATGTGGTTATTTCTTTTTTTTTTTGGTTTCTAAATTTTTTTCAAATTTTTTATTTAGCTAGATTTACAAGTCATTTGGGTATTCAAGGGAAAGACACAAAATGACCAAAAAATATTTATATTTTTCAGCACATAAAAAAGGAAAAGGTACAGTTTTTGATTTATTTAGCCCTGTTAACTCATTGAAAATAAAATATTTATAAAACCATTACTCAATTTTACAAAGAAAAAAATAGTTTATAATAGTTATGTTAAAATAAAGCCAGCTGAAGGCCCAAGCATGTTAAATATATTATTTGTAGATGACTAAATGTTCAAAAATTAACTTCCCATGTGAAAATCTTTTAACATGAAATTTATACTGTATATCAATTTTCAGCATAATATTAGGTCATAAAGTCAGAATTTGCATAGTCTTGCCATTTTCCCATGTCAATGTCTTATCTTTGTTCTTTAATCTTTGAATATCAAATAATTAAATAACAATGACAATTCAGCATACAGATTACAGAATGGGACATTTAGAAAAAAAATAAATCAATGGCAATTTTAGTACCTTTTCATTTATAAGGGGAACTGAAAATAAAAACAAATATTACAAATAAAACCCCAAATACAGTTTCTAAAACAACAAATATGTAAACATGCCAATTATCTCCCCTTATCTACTTCCTGTAAAATATTTTTCACTTACTTTGAGTGCATTAAATGCTGAATCAGTGATGACATCACTGCTAGGGGTTTGTTTTTGTTCTTGTTCTTCACTTGTGTCAATTTCTTTCTGCATTTCAGCTTTTTCTTTTTCCAGATCTTTCACACGGTTTTGTAACTTAAGCAACAATCCTACATCAATATCCTGTAATAAAGTAAAGTAAAGTAAGTATTTGCACCTGTCCTAAGTCAGGAATCTGATTACAGTAGTTGTTGTCTGTTTATGTAGTTCATACGTGTTTCTCGTTTCACGTTTTTATATAGATTAGACCGTTGGTTTTTCTGTTTGAATGGTTTTACACTAGTAATTTTTTGGGGCCCTTTATAGCTTGTTGTTCGGTGTGAGCCAATGCTCCATGTTGAAGGCCGTACCTTGACCTATAATGGTTTACTTTTATAAATTGTAACTTGGATGGAGAGTTGTCTCATTGGCACTCATACCACATCTTCTTATATCTATTAAATGTTTCTGTTTTATAATATTTTTTCTAGAAGTTTTAGACCTTGATTTATTGTATAGACTCCTGACATTTTTTTAAACTGTTTGTTAACCTCAAGATGTTTTTTTGGTTATTTGTTGTTGGGTTGCTGTCTCAATAGAAAATCCAACAACTTTGTTTATTCATATGGTCCACACAGATATGATGCCCAAACATTTGATGGGACTAAAATCTTGGACTTCTGGATTTTGGAAAAGGACTTTTTACAGTTTAAACCAAGATGTCTGGTAAATACTTGCCTGATTCACATTGTTAATAAGATAATGGATAAAACTACTTGATTAAAAATTGATAAAAATAGGCAGATCTTGGATAGTCTCTTAAACAAAACTTGCAAGATTTAGAGCTTTACATATTATTTAGCCACCTGTCTATTGTTTAAGGATGTTCGCTCCTCTTGTTTTTGAAATTTTGCCAGATTTTCGGAATCCTCTGGTTTTATCCATGTTTTGCCATTAAATAATTTTGTCCACAAACCCTTACTTTTCTTTTCATAATTTTATTTCATATAGTTTTAAAAGCCGTATTTGAAAATCTTATAAAATCCTTGTTATTTTTTCATAGTTTTTAAAAGAGAAAAGCGGACAATGTTAAAAGTATGAAAAATTTAGAGAGAATCATTTCCCGCCAAATTTTCAATGGCTTATATCTCAAAAGCAAGCACACGGACCCTTCATTTTTTTCTGCTTTTTTGGTTCCTTTATTTATATACTATAGATTTAGAAGTCTACTAAAAAGCTTGTTATTTTAAAACAGAGTAGCGAACATCCTTAAGGCTACATGTTGTAGCTGTCTCCTTGATGTATACCCAACTCCTCCCTTTATTCCTAATACAACACCAACATTAATTACTCCATCAATTGCAATTCAAAACTTGAGTTTGACATCTAGTATTGACACAAGCCTATCAGTATTGATGAAGACTACATGTTGCACTAGGCCGGCATGTATGGTTTGATTACTTTTGTTGGGTAGCTGTCTCATTTACATTTATTGCACACCTTCCTTTATCCCTACTACAATGCCAACCTTAGTTTCTCCATTAACAGGTAGAGGTGGAGCTGGTGCTTTCTTCTTCTTCTTTGATTTCTCTGTGCCATATCCTTGATCCTACAGATTTACAAAAAACTTCGTCATTTGTATGTTGCATGATGGGAAATATAGTTTATATTCGTACCTGAACACTAACAATGCTACTTAAGTATGTGCACAATTCATTTTTATACGAGTTACATACATGAAAACTCTTATCATTTTTTTCTGCATGATGGGGAATTAAATCTTAAATTCAGACATGATTCCTGGCAATTTTTGTGCGATCATGCTTTAATTTCTATTATGAATGGTCTGTTGTATTGTGGCCATTTAAGTTATCATTTAAATGTATTATTTTGTTTTATTCATGCTCTTAAAACTTGTAATTTTTCTACAAATTTAATTAATCTGTTTATTATTTAAATGATCCATCAGTTTTTGCTACAAATGTTCTATGTGTACAATCATTACATTTAATTTGATCAAATAAAAATTTTACATAATTAAATGAAATATCTTCAAAAAATCAATCTTTCTCTTTTATCCATAGTACAATTCTAATGTAAAAAACAGGCAGAAATTAATCTTACAAATATTTCTGAATGTAAAATGTTATCTCCCTTGATTTACCTCTTTTTCATTTTCCTCTTCCTCTTTCTTCTCATCAGGAGATACAGAACTGGTATAAGACTCTAGACTGATAGCACTTATGTCTGATGGTGTTCGTTTGTGACCTTGAGGACTTGTGAGGTATTCCATTTCTCCGTGGAGGTTCTCTAATCTCTGTTGTAACCGAGCATGCTCCTTGACAAGTTTCTGATGGTGCTCTCTTTCCGAATCCAACTCTGATAGCAACTGTTTCTTTGCAGCTTCTACTTTAGCTTTCACCATATCTGGAAATACAAAGTTCTTTGATGAACATCTTCAAATGTTTCTTCATGTATTAAATTTAATTTACAAATGAATACTGTTTATTATCTTTAAGTTCCTTGCTAAACATCCTCAAATATTTCATCAAGTATCAAATTTGTTTACAAATTCATATTATTTTATGAGCTATATTTCATAAGGTTTTTTTTTATCATTTCTTGTTTATCTAATCTGAAAATAATCTGGAAAAGAATGATAAAAATGTAAAAGTTCTTTGATGAACATCCTCAAACGATTCATCAAGTATTAAACGTAGTTTACAAATGCATATTATTTATGATTTTATTATCTATTTATTGGTTTTGTTTTTATTTCTTGTTTATCTAATCTAAAAATAAATAAAAAAAATATTAGGTTTTCCCCACAATAAAGGTATAAATAGATTTCATGCGAAAATTAATCAAATCTACATACTACAATATGTCCTTTTTTTACCTATTCTTAATCAAAGGGAAATATTTCATAAGGAAATGATAATGTAAAAGCGATTAAATATTTATCTTGGTGGCTACACATCTGACAGAATAAATATTCAACATTTTTTTATGTAAAGTTTATTGATTTACAGCCTCTTCTGGCAAACAAAGTATTAGCTTCAAATTAATCTTTTTTCATCCCTGATAAAATTTCATACTGTACCATATCAAAAGCTGTAAATGTATAGATTGGAGTTAAGCTTAAATTACCAGCCAGTTCTTTTTCTTGTTCATCAAGCTGAGTTTTGGCAAGTTCTAAATCAGCTGACAGTTTGTTGTTCTCCTCCGTTAACTTGTTTGCAATCTGGAAGAAGAAAAAAGAAACATAATAAATAAAAAAATAATTCTGAATTATCAATGATTGATTGATTGATTGTTTGCTTCTTGACCATTACCAATTTTGTCAGGCATATTCAGGATTGGAACAAATCAACAATTTTAAATGACATGGATTAGTTCTGAAAAGATTAAATGTCCCCATTCCGACTGGAGGAAGCTGCATGTTTATCACCCATATCATCCACCATAAGCACAAGGGATGGGAGTCCTTAAATACTATATTTCTTTAATCTATAGAGCATCTTTCATTATCTTCAAAAATAAAGCTTATGCTGTAAAATTCTGATGAAAATTATTTTACTATAAAAAAATTTCTGTAATTAGATGATTTGTTTATTCTGCAAATGGTTCATTTCTGTAATCAGTAGTGTATTACTTAATTTTCCAAAGTAATTCTTTACTCTTGCTCCCCATTATTTTCTATTCTTTACAGTTTTTGCTAATTTTTCTATGCATTATTAGCTCACCTGACCTGAAAGGTCAAGTGAGCTTTTCTCATCACTTTGCGTCCGTCGTCCGTCGTCCGTCGTCCGTCGTCCGTCGTCCGTAAACTTTTACAAAAATCTTCTCCTCTGAAACTACTGGGCCAAATTTAACCAAACTTGGCCACAATCATCATTGGGGTATCTAGTTTTAAAAATGTGTGGCGTGACCCTGTCAACCAACCAAGATGGCCGCCACAGCTAAAAATAGAACATAGGGGTAAAATGCAGTTTTTAGCTTATAACTCAAAAACCAAAGCATTAAGAGCAAATCTGACATGGGGTAAAATTGTTCATCAGGTCAAGATCTATCTGCCCTGAAATTTTCAGATGAATCGGACAACCCGTTATTAGGTTGCTGCCCCTGAATTGGTAATTTTAAGGAAATTTTGCTGTTTTTGGTTATTATCTTGAATATTATTATAGATAGAGATAAACTGTAAACAGCAATAATGTTCAGCAAAGTAAGATTTACAAATAAGTCAATATAACCGAAATGGTCAGTTGACCCCTTTAGGAGAAATTGCCCTTTATAGTCAATTTTTAACCATTTTTCGTAAATCTTAGTAATCTTTTACAAAAATCTTCTCCTCTGAAACAACTGGGCCAAATTAAACCAAACTTGGCCACAATCATCATTGGGGTATCTAGTTTAAAAAATATGTGACGTGACCCGGCCAACCAACCAAGATAGCCGCCACAGCTAAAAATAAAACATAGGGGTAAAATGCAGTTTTTGGCTTATAACTCAAAAACCAAAGCATTTAGAGCAATCTGACATGAAGTAAAATTGTTTATCAGGTCAAGATCTATCTGCCCTAAAATTTTCAGATGAATCGAACAACCTGTTGTTGGATTGCTGCCCCTGAATTGGTAATTTTAAGGAAATTTTGCTGTTTTTGGTTATTATCTTGAATATTATTATAGATAGAGATAAACTGTAAACAGCAATAATGTTCAGCAAAGTAAGATTAACAAATAAGTCAACATGACTGAAATGGTCAGTTGACCCCTTTAGGAGTTATTGCCCTTTATAGTCAATTTTTAACAATTTTTCGTAAATCTTGGTAATCTTTTACAAAAATCTTCTCCTCTGAAACTACGTGGCCAAATTAAACCAAACTTGGCAACAATCATCATTTGGTTATCTAGTTTTAAAAATGTGTGGCGTGACCTGGTCAACCAACCAAGATGGCCGCCACGGCTAAAAATAGAACATAGGGGTAAAATTCAGTTTTTGGCTTTTAACTCAAAAACCAAAGCATTTAAAGCAAATCTGACATGGGGTAAAATTGTTCATCAGGTCAAGATCTATCTGCCCTGAAATTTTCAGATGAATCGGACAACCCGTTATTGGGTTGCTGCCCCTGAATTGGTAATTTTAAGGAAATTTTGCTGTTTTTGGTTATTATCTTGAATATTATTATAGATAGAGATAAACTGTAAACAGCAATAATGTTCAGCAAAGTAAGATTTACAAATAAGTCAATATAACCGAAATGGTCAGTTGACCCCTTTAGGAGTAATTGCCCTTTATAGTCAATTTTTCACCATTTTTCGTAAATCTTAGTAATCTTTTACAAAAATCTTCTCCTCTGAAACAACTGGGCCAAATTAAACCAAACTTGGCCACAATCATCATTTGGTTATTTAGTTTTAAAAATGTGTGGCGTGACCTGGTCAACCAACCAAGATGGCCGCCACGGCTAAAAATAGAACATAGGGGTAAAATTCAGTTTTTGGCTTTTAACTCAAAAAACCAAAGCATTTAAAGCAAATCTGACATGAAGTAAAATTGTTTATCAGGTCAAGATCTATCTGCCCTGAAATTTTCAGATGAATCGGACAACCCGTTGTTGGGTTGCTGCCCCTGAATTGGTAATTTTAAGGTAATTTTGCTGTTTTTGGTTATTATCTTGAATATTATTATAGATAGAGATAAACTGTAAAAAACGATAAATGTCGGCAAAGTAAGATCTACAAATAAGTCAACATGACCGAAATTGTCAGTTGACCCCTTTAGGAGTTATTGCCCTTTATAGTCAATTTTAACCATTTTTTCGTAAATCTTAGTAATCTTTTACAAAAATCTTCTCCTCTGAAACTACTGGGCCAAGTTAATTATAGATAGAGATAATTGTAAGCAGGAAAAATGTTCAGTAAATTAAGATGTACAAACACATCACCATCACCAAAACACAATTTTGTCATGAATCCATCTGCGTCCTTTGTTTAATATTCACATAGACCAAGGTGAGCGACACAGGCTCTTTAGAGCCTCTAGTTTTTGCTTGCCATTATTTCCTATTTAGTAAACCTCATGCATACTACTACAAATTAATAACTTGATTTTCTGTCGGAAAACTATTAAATATATATATAGAAAAATAAAAATCATTGTTCTGGTTGAAAATAAAGAATACTTTGCTTTATTTTAATCTTTACAAAATGGACATGAGCTAAATAGCAACATATTTGTTTCATTATTAACATCAAAGTGTTATCATTTATCAGCAAAAAGTGCATGTTTTGGCAATAAAATCAGAAAAGACAAGATAGTACAGCAATTCATATTGCCATACAAAAACAGTTATAAGGTATCACTAATTTGATGACAGAATAAAATGCTTCGCCGAGCGCAGCCAGAGACGACAGCAGAGGTCTAACCCTGAACAGTTGGTGCAAGTTTGGACACAATATTCAACCTTGATACTGTCTGAATTTGGATTGTGATCAAATTTTGACATAATATAGGTTTCTGACACAAAATAAATGGGGTCAAAGATCTTAAAAATTTGAAATTGGACATTTAATTTGCCTAGAATGGTCTGATATCCAAAATCTAACAACATGGTTAGATTCAGCATATAGAAAAACACCAAAAATTTAATTTTAGTTGAAATCAAACAAAGTTTAATTTTAGACCCTTCAAACCTTAATATGGAATAATTTGAAAACAGGGCCCAAATAAAAAATCTAAATGCACAATAAGATTCAGCATATCATACAGCCGCAATAATTCAGTTTTTGAAGAAATCAAACAAAGTTTAATATTGGACCCTTTGGACCTTGATGTAGACCAATTTAAAAATAGGGCCCAATTTCCAAAAAAAAAGTAATTCAAGGTTAGAACACCCAAAAATTAAAGACTTTAAATTAATCCCATTGAAATTGGTTAAAAGATTTGTATTTATTTTCAATTGAAGATTTCTTGCTATTGCACAATACTGTGCAATTGAAGATTTCTTGCTATTGCGCAATACTGGCCAATTGAAGATTTCTTGCTATTGCGCAATACTGTATAATTGAAGATTTCTTGCTATTGCACAATAATTTAATTTTGGATGTAACGCGTCTGCTGATTGGCTGACGTTGTTTTGTTTATCAGCTCATAGACATAATTTAGTCATGTGACCGTGACGTCATCAACGTTTTTTCATTGTTTACTCCGGTTTAAAATGGAATTTAGAATTAAATTATAAGAAATAACTGTAATATTTTATCTGTCTATTCGAAATAACATTCAGTGTGCATCACATTTTTGATGTTATTTCTTCATAGACAGAAAAAATATTACATTTATTCCTTAAATACTGTGCAATTGAAGATTTCTTGCTATTGTGCAATACTGTGTAATTGAAGATTTCTTGCTATTGTGCAATACTGTGCAATTGAAGATTTCTTGCTATTGTGCAATACTGTGTAATTGAAGATTTCTTGCTATTGTGCAATACTGTGCAATTGAAGATTTCTTGCTATTGTGCAATACTGTGCAATTGAAGATTTCTTGCTATTGTGCAATACTGTGCAATTGAAGATTTCTTGCTATTGTGCAATACTGTGCAATTGAAGATTTCTTGCTATTGCGCAATACAGTGCAATTGAAGATTTCTTGCTATTGCGCAATACAGTGCAATTGAAGATTTCTTGCTATTGCGCAATACTGTGCTATTGTTCAATACTGTGCAATTGAAGATTTCTTGCTATTGCGCAATACTGTGCTATTGTTCAATACTGTGCAATTGAAGATTTCTTGCTATTGCGCAATACTGTGCTATTGTTCAATACTGTGCAATTGAAGATTTCTTGCTATTGTGCAATACTGTGCAATTGAAGATTTCTTGCTATTGTGCAATACAGTGCAATTGACGATTTCTTGCTATTGCGCAATACTTTGCAATTGAAGATTTCTTGCTATTGCGCAATACTGTGCAATTGAAGATTTCTTGCTATTGCCCAATACAGTGCAATTGAAGATTTCTTGCTATTGCGCAATACTGTGCTATTGTTCAATACTGTGCAATTGAAGATTTCTTGCTATTGCGCAATACTATGCTATTGTTCAATACTGTGCAATTGAAGATTTCTTGCTATTGCGCAATACTGTGCTATTGTTCAATACTGTGCAATTGAAGATTTCTTGCTATTGCGCAATACTATGCTATTGTTCAATACTGTGCAATTGAAGATTTCTTGCTATTGCGCAATACTGTGCTATTGTTCAATACTGTGCAATTGAAGATTTCTTGCTATTGCGCAATACTTTGTTGTTGCGCAATACTATGCTATTGCACATTACTGTGCAATTGAAGATTTCTTGCTATTGAGCAATACTGTGCAATTGGAGATTTCTTGCTATTGCACAATACTGTGCAATTGAAGATTTCTTGCTATTGCCCAATACAGTGCAATTGAAGATTTCTTGCTATTGCGCAATACTGTGTAATTGAAGATTTCTTGCTATTGTGCAATACTGTGCAATTGAAGATTTCTTGCTATTGTGCAATACAGTGCAATTGACGATTTCTTGCTTTTGCGCAATACTTTGCAATTGAAGATTTCTTGCTATTGCGCAATACTGTGCAATTGAAGATTTCTTGCTATTGCCCAATACAGTGCAATTGAAGATTTCTTGCTATTGCGCAATACTGTGCAATTGAAGATTTCTTGCTATTGTGCAATACAGTGCAATTGAAGATTTCTTGCTATTGTGCAATACTGTGTAATTGAAGATTTCTTGCTATTGTGCAATACAGTGCAATTGAAGATTTCTTGCTATTGTGCAATACAGTGCAATTGAAGATTTCTTGCTATTGTGCAATACTGTGCAATTGAAGATTTCTTGCTATTGCGCAATACTGTGCAATTGAAGATTTCTTGCCATTGCCAAATAATGTGCAATCATTTGAAATTTCAAAAATTTAGAAGAAAAAAAATATGAACCCCCAAAAAAATTGGAAAAAAAAAATCCCCCCAAACTTTTTGAACCCCCTCACCCACAGTAATTACCCCCAAATAAATCCCAGCCTTCCCTTTTTGGTATGGAACCTTGTAGTACAATTTTAGAGAGATCAATACAATTAAACACAAGTTACTGTCTGGAAACTAGAAAAATGCTTGTTTTTTGGCCCCTTTTTTGGCCCTTATTCCTGAACAGTTGGGGCAATTACCCCCAAACACACTCCCAGCCTTCCCTTTGTGATATGGAACCTTGTGGTACATTTTCTGAGAGATCTATACTCTAACACACAAGTTATTGTCCGGAAACTACAAAAATGCTTGTTTTTGGCCCCTAATTCCTAAACTGTTGGTACCATAACCCCCAAAATGAATCCCAACCTTCCTTTTGTGGTATAAAACCTTCTGGTAAAATTTCTTAGAGATCCATTTACTTAAACTAAAGTTATTGTCTGGAAACCAAATGTGTCTTTGGACGACGCCAATGACGACAACACTGTAGCATTATACGACGCAAAAATTTTTTGCAGTCGTATAAAAATAAACGCAAGATATTTGGATCATTCCAAATCCATAACTACGAAACATCTTCTATGAGTGTTACTGCATCTGGAAAATTTGAGATAATGACACTATTCTTGTTTTATCAAAACTAATTGCTCTTCTTAGAACAAGAGAAGAGATAAAATAATTATTTATTACTTCTATATATGCCACTTTGATGCCACTCAGATATAAGAAGACTACATCCAATACTTAATCAGTACCTCTGCTTTATCTTTCCTCATTAGTTCCTTCTCAGCTATCAGATCTTGTTTTTCTATTTGTTCTTTCTCTAGCTCTATTTTCAAAGCCTTAATCTCAGCCAGGAGTTCTGTAATTTTATTAGACGACTTTTCAACTTGACCAGAGGAGCCTCGTAATTTCTCCAGTTCTACTTTCATCTTGTCCATTTCTCCTTCTTGTTGTTTGACAGCATTCATTTCTTGTTTCTGAAATTAGATCATTAACACAATGAATTTTTTGGAAAATCTCCACTAAACCTTTAACCAACTTATTTTTATGAATACTACATGTAAATATTGTATTCTGCCATGTCTAACCAAATCCCCGGCAATTTATTTCCATGATTTAACAATATTGTTGCTGTATTCATATAAGGAAATATCCAAGGTGTACATATTTGTAACGATTTGTATTGATGTTTATTTTCTCCCTGCACAAGTTGTGGAAATAATTCGCTAGTAAACTAGTTGGTTTATAGTATATCTGTCCATTTAAAAGGATGCTGTGTTACGCAATAATAAGTCAATCAAGTTTATGAGAAGTTAGTTATCAAATATATACTTAGCCATTAAGTCCATTTTAAATAGTTTAGTAAAAGTCCTAGTTCTATTGTCTATTAAAGAAATTTTCATGTCGCTTTTCAATCTTTTAAACTTTCAGTCATTTAAAACCATTTTAATATGACAGAAGTCACTGTTTTATGGAAGCTGCAAATCGAAGAATAAGAGAAAAACAGAGTATATATCTTTTTAAGCTAGTGAACTTATTTAGATATTTCCTCATCAGTCCTATAGATAAAATTAAATTACTAGATATTCATCTCTACTTGTCTCCTTGCCATAACTTTTTTGCAGAGTAAACAAAATGATTATTTTCAATTGAGAAATTGTTTTTAATCTTATAACTGACAATCACCATGGTAACAACCTTACCCTGACATCCAGTTGCTGTTGTAGTTGTATAATCTTATTCTCCAATCCTTTGTTTACATTCTTGATATGGTCCACTGATTTAGCCTCAATCTGAAATACAACAAAGTCAACTGTTATGGTCTACTTCTATAATTTCAATGTGAGGTAAAGAATAATCAGTGAAATACATGTGTGGTTTTTTTTGGGGTAAATTTACATCAATACAAGTGATTTCTTGAAAAAATAAACAACCATCTATAATCAATATTGTAATGTGTGAGGCAAAGTAAATGTCTCCATTTCGGTAAACTTGCATTGCAAGGTTGCTGTTTCAATGGTGTTCATCCAACGTCTTTTTTATTATATACAGTATACTTATAATATAAATTATAAATATAAAATATCTTAACTGGTTTTCTCCAGATATACTGTAAATACAGACTTTTTTGCAGGTAAGGGCTATTCCATTAAAATGTATGTGGGAGGGTAGGAAGGGACTTTCAAAATATCCCTACAACCAAGAACCATTTTTTAGATAATTTTGCATAATGGTAATAGGCGCATACTGAAAAAAAAAACCATGACCCACATTCAATAATTAAACTTCCCTTCCTACCCTCCCACATACAATTTAATGGAATAGCCCTAATTCATAAGTGACTGTTGTACAATGGAAACATGTGTGAGATTAATTATTGCAAAAGTGGCACTTAATAATGCAATCAACATCTAAAATTCTTTTTTTTTGTTTTTTTTTGTTTAGGTTTTTTATCTCAAAATCTGTATGTTCAGTGTTTAAAAAAAGGAAACAATATATAACATAAACAAACCTTAAGTTTCTTAAGCTCCTTCTTGGCCTTTCGTCTTCGGTAATGACCTTGTAATTTGATGATACCTCTGATGACTCTACGATATCTGACACGTGCCAACCATCCACGTGCGTACCTCTGTATAACCACAGCTCTATGAGTATGAAGGGCTTTCTCAAATTCTCGTCTTCCAAAGAAGCCTCGGATACTGGCCTGAAAATGTATTTTTTTCATAATTAACCAGACAAATTATAATGATATTTAGTGAATATCTGAAGTTTGACATTTAATTTCATCAGTAATCATAATTTAATCCAGGGACTCTGGTTTGTATGAACAACATATGACAACTCCAATTGTAAAATTTCCTTTAGAGCTATTTTCCTAATTCTTGTAGTTTAAAGGTTTGGTTGGCTTGCTTGCTTTGTTTGTATAAATGTTTGCTCAAGCATTGTAATTAAGATTGACATCTGCAATCAATAGATAGGTGGGGCTTCAGCTTGTATACATTATACTTAAAGGTTATTGGATGTTAAGTATAATGAAGAGTATAATGTATACAAGCTGAAGCCCCGGCTATCTACTGACTGCAGATGTCAATCTTAATTAAAAGGTAAATAATGTTCACACCAATGCACTTTGGTGTTGTTCTCTCAAAAGCAGTGAAGAGGTCTAGTAAATAAAGCTATCAATCCATTATAATTTTTTTAATGCAATATTTACCCCAAAAATATGTGCAGCTTAAATCCTTTATAATGGTATATAAAATCCTTCCTACTAACCTGTAAAATAAGGACTGCATTCCTGACATGGTTGTAGTGACTCCTGGCTTTGTAGCCCTTCCATCTCTTTTGAACTGTCTTTGCTGCCCAGGTTTCTCGCAAATATCTTGCAAAGCTGTGGAAATAATTAAACTGTGCATTAACCACTTTATATCTGGAATTAACATATCATAGCATTCTTCTGTTGGAGGTAAATGTGGAATCGAAAAAGGGTTTTTAAATGGGTTTAAAATATAGTGCCTGACCTACTTACAGACGCTACCATTAATCTTTCAAATCATTTAAAGTAGAACATATTTATATGGCTAATCATTTGCACTTCATTGATGTCTTATGAAAGATTCAAAACTAATGCTAATGTTATCTATGATTATATGAGCACTACATAAGTTTCCGATAGATTTCTTGATGTTGATCCAATGATCTAACTTTTTGGCTCATTGCAGAAAACTTCCCAGTAACAGAAAAAAAAGAAAGAGAGCAACAACAGTATTTTGTTTTGAAATATTGGTTATTTACTAATCATGTTTTACTTCAGTATTAGTGGTATATAAACATTTACCATTTTACTCATGTGAAAAATCACAAACGTCAAACACACAAGTCCTGAAATATCATATTAACTGGGACATGAATACTTCATATGAAAGTGCTGCTGAAATGATGATATACAGAAATGGAAAGATTTCAGTAGGAAAATTTAAATCATCTCTTTTGTCCTAAGGTTTAGTTCTCAATCAAATTACATACCGTCTAGCCAGCAGACCTCGTCCATATTTTTGTAGAAGTGTAATAGACTTTGTGATCTTCCTGTAACGTTTTCTCTCTAACCACCCTTTGACATGTTTCTGTATCATTATACCACATGATCGTAACTTGTCAGATCGGAGCTTTTCTAAGTAGGCCACTTGTCCTGCTCGGAAAAATATTTTTGTTTTTCCAAATCTGTATTTGTCTGGATCCTATAACATGAAGGTAAATATGGTAAAAATACATCATAATTAAATTATTCTTAAGTTTATTTCTGTTCCTTTCAGGGATATGACATTTTCTACCCACCCATCTCTTTGTTACCACCTAAAACCCACAGAACCCCAAAAAAAATTTCTCTGATTTATACATACACAAACAACTAGTATACATATAATGAATACGAATGGATGGCTTTAAGACTTAAAAGTATAAATGGTTTAAAATAAAGAGTGACAAGAAGAAGAGAGAGATTTCCTACAGCAAATATAAACAAGAGTGCACACGCTGAAATGTCTCGCCTTCTTTACTAATCATTGATATTATGTTGATAGTCCTAAATATAAAGCTTTATTACAACTGCCACATAAACTTAACATTAACCAAGTAAACTAAACATTGACCAATGAACCATGAAAATGAGGTCAAGGTCAGATAAACCACGCAAGGCAGGCATGTACAGCTAACAAATCTTCCATACAACAACTATAGTTGACCTATTGCTTATAGTTTAAGAAAAACAGACCAAAACACAAAAACTTAACACTGAGCAATGAACCTTGAAAATGAGGTCAAGGTCAAATAAAACCTGTGTGACTGACATATAGATCATAAAATATTTCCATACACCAAATATAGTTGAACTATTGCATATATAGTATTAGAAAAAAAGACCAAAACTCAAAAACTTAACTTTGACCACTGAACCATGAAAATGAGGTCAAGGTCAGATGACACCTGCCAGCTAGACATGTACACCTTACAATCATTCCATACACCAAATAAAGTAGACCTATTGCATACAGTATAAGAAAAACAGACCAAAACACAAAAACTTAACTATAACCACTGAACCATGAAAATGAGGTCAAGGTCAGATGACACCTGCCAGTTGGACATGTACACCTTACAATCATTCCATACACCAAATATAGTAGACCTATTGCATACAGTATAAGAAAAACAGACCAAAACACAAAAACTTAACTATAACCACTGAACCATGAAAATGAGGTCCAGGTCAGATGACACCTGCCAGTTGGACATGTACACCTTACAGTCCTTCCATACACCGAATATACTAGACCTATTGCTTATAGTATCTGAGATATGGACTTGACCACCAAAACTTAACCTTGTTCACTGATCCATGAAATGAGGTCGAGGTCAAGTGAAAACTGTCTGATGGGCATGAGGACCTTGCAAGGTACGCACATACCAAATATAGTTATCCTATTACTTATAATAAGAGAGAATTTAACATTACAAAAAATCTTAACTTTTTTTTCAAGTAGTCACTGAACCATGAAAATGAGGTCAAGGACATTGGACATGTGACTGACGGAAACTTCGTAACATGAGGCATCCATATACAAAGTATGAAGCATCCAGATCTTCTACCTTCTAAAATATAAAGCTTTTAAGAAGTTAGCTAACGCCGCCGCCGCCGGATCACTATCCCTATGTCGAGCTTTCTGCGACAAAAGTCGCAGGCTCGACAAAAATAATTGAAAAAATAAATTAAGAATCTTGCATACATATGAACATAAATATAAACAAACAAATATTTCATGCAATAACATTTGAAGAAAAACTATAAATTTTGTTTAATATGTTATTATTCAATTTCCATACATAAAGTCTGTATAGGCAGTCAACAGTAGTTTAAAGAAAGTCATTGTTTATAAATTAAGAAATTGATAAGAAACTAAGTGAAACTCCCTCTGTCAAAGTTGACCTAAGATAAATTTGGCTATTATTTTTAGGTCCTTTTTGATAGTAGCTCTTCAACTATTTTGGTTCTTATACATCCTTGTCCTTCAACCATTAGGCATTGAGCATTCCTGATGAAGATAGATCCAGAAAAGGGTCTTGGATGCATGGAATTTATAAAGTGCTGTTTTCTGGGTTTTTTACAAACACTTTATGACCCTGTCGAAAGAGACTACCATAGAATGTGAATTTATCAAATCGTTGCTATGCTATTACATAAGTGGCATATCTTATTGACTGTAAAGTGAAAAAGATAAAATTGATATACAAGTAAGTGTTGTTCCAGAAATATATCACCATGCATCAAATTTAAGCAAAGTCCCCCCTTAATACAATCAATTCTGGAACAGCCATGATAGAATCTTAAGTGAAATGGAAAAATAAAACATTTCAATATTCTATACATTTACAAGTATATAAATAACTGGCTACATATATATAGACAGATCTAAAGAGAAACAGCAGGGATATTACATGCTGTATATCAAACAGTCGTTAATGTGAAATAATAAACACATGCTAAACAAAGAGAAAAATATAAGATTGTGAATAAATATCATTAAAAGAAAGAGATTGAGAGATATATAATTGTTCTGGAGGTGAACTTCAAAAACAAGACTAATATTTTATTTGCAAGAACAGTAAAAATGTAAAAAATTCAAGGATGATTTTCTATGTATGCTTATTTATAATAAGATTTCAAATTCCAATAAAACATGGATTTCAAAAGTTACTCAGATGTTGAATTTTATACTAAGATAATGAACTATTTTTTTTTATATAAAAACCAATAACCAAAATGTTTTTTAGGTTCTACTCTGTTATACTATGTTGAATTTTTTAATTCAAAGATGGAATACAAAAATAGAACAAAAGGGCAATTATTTTATATGAATTCTCAAAAGACGTTTTAAATCATTCTAATAATCTTTTATAATCTTTTATAATCTTTTAAAAAAATATTTTTTATTATTCTACATGTAGATTCTAAATTGGGGGAAAAAAATTGCACTGTTTTTTTGTTTTCTTATTACTTGAGTAAGTGAAAAACTTGTATTATTCAGAATCAAGCATTTTAAATAATACATTTATTTCGTCTGACTTCAAAATAGACATTTATATTTATATACATATATATATATATGTATCCAAAATATCTAACCACATTAGATTCTGCAATAGTGGAGCTAAAAGTTCATAGTCACTACTTATGTTGATGATACAGATACAAGTTAAAAAAGAAAAGAAAAATTTGAACATGGTCATCATGCATTTCCTTGATATCACAAGGAAAACATCTGTTAGTTAAAAAAAAATGTAGAAAAATGGTGGATTATGCTTAACAATCTTTTAATCCACCATTTTTCTTTTTTAACAGAACTAAATGTTTTAAATACCAGTGGCAGAATTTGGCAAGGGACAAATTCTTTTGAAATATTGTTACTATTATACAGTGTCCTTGCTAGTCAGAAAAAGAAGGGCACAAAAGATCATTTTAACTCCTGGGAAAAGGATTTTTCAACCCACAAATACTACAAATCCGACAAAAATACATTAATTCTTCAATTATTTTAACTTTTGATCTATAAACATGGTCAAGATGTTCCTTTTCAGACAAGAAACCATGCTAATGTTCCCTTCATCTTGAAAATGGGCTTCTCATTCTTTAAACCTAGCTAGAACACTGCTACAATTTTGTTTTTAAATTTTTTCATCAAAATTTTCAAAACCTCAGATTTTGGTTCCGCCACTGATTACAAATGCAAAATTTCAATATCATATCATGCCAATGTCTACTAACATAATGACAATGACATAACCAATATACTACCTCTATTGGTTGCTTGTTTTTACGATGTTTTGTCGGTGACGATTCCTAGAATATAGCATAGTACTATATATGTCTACACTATAAATATCTTCGGTATATGTATATATATATCATAATTTATACAATTGCTTTAGATACCCGTCAATTTTTCTTTGTTCATTGCTGAGCACTATGAAATATACAAAAGTGATCTAACATCCAGCTTTGTATTGCATAAATCTCATTGAGGGATTTCCAGAACAAAATGTTCAGAAGATTTGAAGATATTTTTCATAAGAGCCCCAAACATACAATTTTCATTAGTAATGTAATGCATTATAGTGTGAAAAGATGTTTTCAACCCTACTACCTTATTTTGAATTTAACATATCTTCTATCTCCTCAAAAATATGATTCAACAAGCATTCTGAGAGTATTGCATGGCAATACATAGTCCCCTACCGGTTAAAAATTAATTGTACTGGAACAAAATGCTAACTTGATATATAACTTGTCATGGTGTAAACTATACATCAAATATCAAGTTAATATCTTCAAGTATGACGAAAAAAAGTGCGGAAAACTGATAATTTAAGTGAATTTTCTAAGTCCAAGGACCATAACTCTGCAAAAAAATCATCAAACCGAAACGAAATTCAAACTTGGTCTGTAACTTGTCATGATAAAACTATACACCAATTATCAAATAAATATCTTCAAGCATGACGAAAAAAAGTGCGGAAAATTGATTATTTGAGTGAATTTTTGGACTATAACTCTGCACAAAAGTATCAGACCAGAATAAAATTCAAACTTGATCTGTAACTTGTTATGATAAAACAATATACCAATTATCAAATCAATATCTTCAAGCATGAAGAAAAAAAAGTGTGGAAAACTAATTTGCCGGACTGACAGACAGACAGACAGACAGACAGACAAACGGAGTGCAAACCTAAAGTCCCCTCGACTTCGTCGGTAGGGGACTAATAACCCTAAGACCTAATAAGTAATATTAGAGATTTCAGAAATCCCATTCAACACTCTTTAAACGACTGAATCCTTTCTAAGTCCTGCTTCCTGAGAGACAAAAAGCTACTATTGAGACTTTGTAAATAGTTTCTACACAAAAATCTCTTTTTTTCCAATAACACCTCTTCATTTAAAATTTTAAAAGTGTGCATACAGAAAAAAAATTACTTTAAAATAAAATCTGTGTTATACTGTCACAAATTTTAAGTTGAATTTTAGTCTAAAGTTAGATACCTGTATAACTGAAACCAGAACATTCTCACATGTCTTTCTTGGGTTAGCTCTGTCAATGTCCTTAGATCTGGCTAATACTCTGTATCTTTGGAAAAACTCACTGTACGTCCATCTGTAATGCAGAATATAAATATCTTACAGATATAGTTAACTGTAAAAAACTCAGTCCATTAATCAGTAAAATACGGCAAAATGAAAATAAATATTTTCAAAATATTGGTCATAAATAAGCTTCTGTCCAAAATTCATTAAATTCCATGAAGGTTTGGCAAAGTTACTGATGTCTAAAAATACTTACTGTGAATTCATTTATTTTCTTGGGTACCAATTTTCATGGATTAAGGAAAACTTACTTGTTCGTGGATATTTAATTTCGTGGTGTCTGCCGAAGTCTGCATACAAGCCTATAGAAAATTTGTTTTTAGTTGAACATTTAATTTCGTGGATCAACTGGATCCACCAAATCCACGAAAATTGGTATTCAATGAATAATAATGAATCCACAGTAAACCGCAGACTGAAACAAATGTTGATGATGCCGACAGGGGAATCTAGGATTGCCATGTCTCACTTTTGTGACATAAATGTCACAGCCTCAACAAAAATGCAAACATTTTCCAATAAAGTGTAATAAATATTTTGATCGTACAAACCTTGATGGATAACCAGCTGCACTGATCCTGATAGTTTCCAGTACACCACAGGCTCGCAACTGTTCTACTCCTCTTCTAGGGTCAAATCTATAATTCAAAATAAACATGCATGCATTACAAACTTTTGGTAGATTTCAGTACATTAAATCAGGTATCAGTAGTATTTTTCACAGTGAATTATTGTACAAATGCAATTCTTTATATTAAAATGAATAAAATAAATACCTTTAAATATTTGTTTGTATATTTATAGTCATCTTTTCGTTCCTGTGTTTTTAATGAAGAATTTATCTCATTTAGACAGGTGTTCTGTGTATAAGAGTAAGCTGTACTGTGGAAAAGAGCTAACCATCTGGAGCACCTCCAATTTTTGGTGGAGTTTGTGTTGCTTAAGTTTTAGTTTTCAAGGTAGAATTTTGTGGACGTGTTCATCTTTTTCGTTTTTTACCAAAGTGTTGCCAGTTTTTTTACGATTTATTTGAATGTACCCTTAAATTCTTCTGTCTCTTTTTAAATCATTAATGAGGAATGTGTCCATAGGGACACAGATGATGCCCCCGCTAGCATATAATGTTATAAAGGGACATAACTCAAGAACTGTAAAAGTGAAGCTGCCAAAATTTGAACTTAAACTGAGTTGAGTGGTAATAAGCATTATATATACATTTCATTAAATTTAGTTGAGACAAACTTAAGTTGGAAACGAAAAAATTCAGCAATTTTTCCATTTGTAAAGGGGCATAACCCTAGAATGGTAATCAAAGTGCTTGTAAGCACTGAATGGTAAAGATTGCTTTAATTTATCAGTGGGAAGTAAAATTGAATATTGCATTGTATAAAGCATTGGTTGTAGTTGATTCAACTACCATTCTGGACAAAGAAAGATAACTCCAATTTTCAAAGAAGATTTTAAAAATGACATAATTTATAATTTAAGAACAGCAATTTTTCCTTTTGTAAAAGGGCATAACTCTTGAACTGTAAAAGTGATGCACCAAAATTCAAACTTGACCTGTGTTTTGTGGTAATAAGCATTGTGGATAAGTTTCATAACATTTGGTTGAGGCAAACTAAAGTTAGAGAACGGAAACCAATTTTGGGTCGTATGGACGTACGCACGGACGGACAAGGGTAAAACTTAATGACAATAAAAATATATTGATCTTGAAACAAAAGAATTTTGAGCCATTCTGTTTAAGACTGGTGTCTGATTTTGCCATTTGTTTAGGGACTTTCCATTTTGAATTTTCCTCGGAGTTCGGTATTTTGTGATTTTACTTTTTAGTCAGGGTTCAGTTAAGATGTTTTTTTTTATTTTCTCAATTTTCAATTTTTCTATTTCCAACAATTAAAACATATACATGGCATACATACAATATAATAAATGTGAGATATATACAATGTCATTATTATAAATACATCATAATGGGAAATATTTGACATTTTCTAAGATTTTTTTAAAAGATGGTTTTTACTGTATATTTTACTCCTCCTACAAGTACTTACTGAAATGCTTCTTTCAAGTCATTAGGTTTTATACATCTGATATAATGAGGTGTGGTAGCATTCAGGGTGGTCATTAACATAAACAAGGAGTCTCGGAACTGTAATGATAAAATATAATAAAATTAGCCAAAAACTAAACTTAAATATAAGAATGTGTCGGAGGACACAAATGCCCCCGTTCAAGCTTTGCAACAATAATGGAACGGACAGACGGAAAGATTGACAGTCTATGGTAACACTTAATGCTCCTGTCACCTACAGCAGGGGGCGTAAAAAATCTAATAATCAACAATCTTTATAAACTTTCATATCTGGTCATTTGTTACATCAATTACATTTTTAGTCTTTTGAGACTGTGATATTATATTTAGTAAGGTCATTTCTGTATATCTTGGTAAAAGTTTTGGTGATCTAGAGATTGCCATTTGGTAACCTCTAGATGTCTAGCAACATGACACGTCTGAATCAATCTCGATTTTTTTTTGTCTGGTAAGTGGGTTGCTCGGTTTTTAGTTTGTTTTTAATGAAGATTTTTTTTGGCTTGTAACTTGTTTTAAGGTGGGTTTTTTTATTGTATAATTTGCCAATGACTGATGATAATTGATTGTCCATTTGGCATGTTCTGTCTCTTTTTTAAGTTGATTATTGCCTCATTGAAGTTTATCTTCTTTTTTTCCTAAAAGAAACAAACTGTCAATGTTTTTTTTAACCGATATGAATATATCATACAATCATAACATTAGATTGATAATAAAATGTCAGCAAAAAAAGCAACAATATATTTTTCTGTGTTGTAGATCATATAATAAAAGCAAATTGCAATATCTTAAAATTGTACAAACTGGTTTCAAAAAGATCATTTTCTGTTAATATTTCTAGCTCTATTTCTATGTTCTTAGAATACAGTGTAAGTATTATTCAGATCTGGAAATCCTAAAAAAAGCTATCTGGTAGGGCTATCCTAGAAATTTCTTTGTGACACTGAAAGTAATGAAAATAAATTCTGCTGTTTAAGAAGAGGGGTTGGAAAATTTATTTTTTTTTATTTCAAAAAGCAATCTCTTTTAATTCAAATGGACAGAAAGAATGACAAAAAACTTCTTCAATCATACACTGTTTCTAGAATAGCCCTTCATATCTTGCAGAAATTGAAATCAGCAACTGAAATAAGTAATAAGTTAATAATTCTCCAGACACAACCAAACTTAAATAACAAATCTATCAAAGTTTTCAAACCAATTCTTTTTTTTTAAATCTGAATAATTTAATTATCTAAATTGACATATCTTACTAATTCTTTTATTTAAATATTCAAACAAAACTGACTTCAAAAGAGTAAGCCTTCATTTACATAAGGACACCCGGTATTAGGGTGAGGATTTCCTTTAGGATTACAGTTATAATGTAGGTTTAGGGCAAGTGTTAGGGTAAGGTATGGGTTAAGGTTAGGTAAGGGTAAGTTTAGTATAACATTTTACCGTTTAGATCCCCTTAAGTAAATAAAGGCCAAAGAGTCTATCATCCATATTCTTGAAAGTGGTAAAGAACTGTCACAATAATTTTTGAGGAAAATTTGGGAACAAAAGATTTATAAATTGATTTCAGCTCAACATTCTGTGATTTTTCTTAGCCATTAAAAGTAGTTTCTGGTATTAAAATACAATTCGTAAATAAGTTTGGTTGTGTCTTAACATAAAAACAACATAAATAAACAAATTAACATTCATGCAGATATAGTATTAGATAATATTATAACCAAACTCATGTATCAGAAATATTAGATATTAAAGCTACAAGTTTCTTCTGTAAATAATTCAGTTCAATTCAAAGACGTATTTGATAATTGATATTCACCAGAAATCTATAGGTGTAATACAAAATTCTTAAATATAACATATACTCAGCAATATAAACAATGCACAACTTTTTCCCATACACAATACACAGCAGTTTCATAATTTCTTTTTTTTTTTGCAATAAATTTGGAAAATTCTTGTCTAATTTAAGAATAACCTTAAAGTTAATCCAAGAATTAAAAGATAATTTTTTGATTTAGTGTCGACAATAGGGATTTCATCCAAAAAAGTCATTTATAAAATTACAAAAAAAGTACTCCAAAAAAAGTACTGAATGATAAGTATTTTGATTTTTTTTAAACAAGATTCTTTGACATTCCAGGAACTGTATGACCCCTGAACTATTGACAGAAGAAACAACTAAAATGTCTTATTAGATTAAGCTAAACCACTCAAAGCTTTGTTATTATGGTTACCTGATCTCCAACAGTTGCTTTGGTAACTTGCTATAGCAACCAGAAATAATGAAATATTATACTAAATAAACATAAAAATTAATAAAAGGTAAAAAAAAAAAAAAAGCATTGTTTCTCAGTCTCAGAGGTCTTAATGCATTGCATCTCAAAATATTTGATATCACACATGTATCTGTAAATGCCAATTAAACAATTTATATTTATCTATTCAAATATATAATTGCAAATAAAAAGAAAGGAAATATGCTCAATGGACTGAGAAACACAACTTTTTGACATGTCCTAAAACTTAATTCTAGACATTAATAAAATACAATATACCAACAAAAATGTAAAAATATCATTTGTAAACCCTTTGGTTAGTCTTACACAAGGCTTTAGATCTATTGTCTTTATAGATTTACACCATTTTTCAAAATCAGAATCATAATTTTTAAACACAGCATTACAGGTTAAATATATTTTTGACCAATCAGAATGCTTTGGTGTATTCATTTCATAATATTACCAAGAACGCTACAGATTGTGAAAAGTTAAGAATATCATAGATGTTCCAAAACAATCACTTTTTTATTAATTATTTTAGGGAAAATATTTCCTTCTTAAACTCAAGTTTCAACATAATGAAAGCCAATTAATTCCACAACATAGACCATGCAAAATTTCATGCATTGTTTACTAAGCCATCTGAAAAAGTTATTAATCCGAAAATATTCTTATTTATAATAAAACATTTACTAAAAATCTTAAAATTCAGCAAATAGACTTATTCCCCAATATGAAATACAAAGTCAAATTTATCAACCTGCACCATTGATATTCCTCTTACCTGTGAACCAACTGTTTTCTTGGTACTTTTACTCCCTTTAGGATTAGAGCGCAGGGGCTGTGTAGGATGGGAACCAGCTCTCTGCTTCTTTTCATTAGGATCAGGTTTGTCTTCAAATAATTCTGCCACTAAGGCAAACTGGAAAAAAATAAATAAATCATACATTTTCTTCCATAAAAATATAACATATAGCATCAAAAAGTATACAATTGTGCATTTTTTCTGAATTTACAGTATATTGAAATGCCCTATATAATTTGTCTTATAGCATTCTACCATTAAATTAAACCTCCTACCTCACTAGCTCTGAGAATATTGATATGGTCTTCTAATACTGTGTCTCTGTTCTTCTCCAGGAATCCATCGGCCTGGTATGTGACTTTGTCAGCAAAGTGGTGTATGATAAATGCCATGTTAGACATTCGAGGTTTGTCAAAGTGATGAGCCTTGTTGTAATGTTTATCATATAACTTCTGGCACCAGTTCTTATCTGAACCTTTTGGCATCTGTAAATATAAATTAGAATAATTTAATTTTGGATGTAACGCGTCTTCTGATTGGCTGACGTTGTTTTGTTTATCAGCTCATAGACATAATTTTGTCATGTGACCGTGACATGATCAACGTTTTTTCATGGTTTACTCCGGTTTAAAATGGAATTTAGAATTAAATTATAAGAAATGACTGTAATATTTTTTCTGTCTATTCGAAATAGGTCCACACTTTAAAATAACCCGCTATGCGGGTTATTCAGTGTGCACCACATTTTTGATGTTATTTCTTCATAGACAGAAAAAATATTACAGTCATTTCTTAAATGATGATGATGATGATGATGGACAGATGCCTGTTTAATATCCAGTTTCATATTCAGGATGACCACACGTTTAGGATATGAATATAAACCCTGCTTTGTACTAGACAGACATGTACATGCTGAACTAGATTTTTATCTAATAATACCAAAATGTATTCAATCATTTAAAATTGGCATCTTTTTCTTTTAAAAAAATGAAAAAAACAAGGATTTTATAAGATTTTCAAATATCGCTTTTTTAACTACATTGTATATGTAATTAAGTTATGAAAAGAAAAGTAGAGGTTTAGCAGGCAGAAATTGTTAATGGCACTACATGGCACCACAGAGGATTCCGAATATCATACAAAAAGTTAAAAAAAAACATGAGTTAAGAACATCCTTAGGAAAATGAATTAATACAAATATTTCTCTGTTAACTGATAAAACCATTCTGAGCTGGTATCCTGTCTACTGATATAATACATTACCTTACATTCTTCATCCAACAGATCCAGTATACCAAGTTTACTTTCAATCAGATCAATACATGGCTGGTTGTCATAGAAATCAATAAACGACCATTCAATGGCTTCTTTCACATATTCTTCTTGTTCTAACTTAAATACATGCTACAGAAGACAAACGAATCTATTGTCAATTCAAATGTTTTGTAATTATAAATCAGCAATTTATCTATTTATGATGGAACATGACTCGAGAACGATGAAAGTGATGCCACCAAAATTCAAACTTGATTTGTGTTTGGTGACAATAAGCATGGTGTATATATATCATAATATTTTGTTGAGGCAAAGTAAAGTAATACTGCAATAACAGCAAATTCAACATTTTTTTTCAATTTTAAAGGGCATAACTCTAGAACAGTAATAATGTTGCAGAATTAGTATTGCATTAGTTCATACTGTTATTTTTAAAAACACTACATAATTTGTTGTGTGTCACACTTCCTAAAATGCCATAAATATGTAACACACATTTTTTCCAAATGATTAGCAATCAAATATCAAAATTTCAATAAGTCCACAGAAATAATTTCCTTCAACATATTATACTTACACTATTAAAAATTTGTTGTAGTTTTTCATTTGCATAGTTAATACAGAACTGTTCAAAACTGTTTATTTCAAAGGTTTCAAATCTGAAATATAAAAATTCACATTTAAATATATTATTTTGCATTCACCTTGGGGAATTATTTGAAATCATTGTTAAAGGCTTAACAACTGCTTCTAATAAGATAAAGGAAAATGTACAGTAAATGTCAAATAGACAGCATCCAAATCTAAAGAGCATTCAATCCACAATCATTTACAATAAGGGATTACTGTGGATTCAGTTATTTTCGTGGGTACCAATTTTCGTGGATAAAGGAAAACTTGTATGGTTGTGGATATCAAATTTTATGGTTTTGACGAGGTCTGCATACAAGCCTATAGAAAATTTGTCATTCATTGAACATTTAATTTCGAAATCCACAAAAATTGGTATCCAATGAATAATAATGAATCCACAGTATGTGGATTCATTTTTTTTTTGTGGGTACCAATTTTCGTGGAAAATTGATTTCCTTTCATATTAGATTTCATGGTTTTGCCGAAGTCTGAATGGTCTGCAGATCTCAATGCTGTGTTTTGTTTACTGGCTTGTCTTTAGTAATTTTTAATTTTTGTTAGTATTGATTACTTGTTCAGTTGTTCCCTTTTTTTTGCCAAGGCTTTGTGATGTTGTCTTTCACTTAAAGAGCACCCGAGATCACCCCCAGGTTTTGGTGGGGTTCGTGTTGCTTAGTCTTTATTTTTCTATGTTGTGTCATCTGTACTATTATTTGTCTGTTTGTCTTTTTATTTTTGGCCATGGCGTTGTCAGTTTGTTTTCAATCTATGAGTTTGACTGTCCCTCTGGTATCTTTCGTCCCTCTTTTAAAGAGTTTGATATATCTCTTTGATATATCTCTTTGATATTATCTTCCTCTAAATAGCTTACCCATAGATATCATGTACTCCTATAAACCTGTGATGTTTGGTTGTACTGTGTAACTTACCCATAGATATCAAGTACTCCTATAAACCTGTGATGTTTGGTTGTACTGTGTAACTTACCCATAGATATCAAGTACTCCTATAAACCTGTGATGTTTGGTTGTACTGTGTAACTTACCCATAGATATCAAGTACTCCTATAAACCTGTGATGTTTGGTCGTACTGTGTAAACTGAGATTTACTTTCTCCACGATCCAGTCAAACATTTTAGCATAAATATGTTTAGCCAAGGCATCCTGTGCATTACTAGCCTGGAAAATAAATTACAAATATTTACTGACCAGGATTTTTTTTACCGACTATGAATAAAATGAGACGTGGGAAATAAATTATTATTTATATAAATGAGATCAGCATTACAAGCCTGAAATATAAATTTACAAATATTTAGTTACCAGAACTTTTGTTTTAACTGACAATGAATAAAATGAGATGTGAGTAATATGAGACAGCAACCCAAGAATACAAAATATCTAACAACATTTAAAGGTTAACAAAAGACAGCTGTCTGTTGGATATACAATTCATGTTCTGCATAGTGGCTTATTTTTCAAGTTTTCTTTTGCCAAAACAAGGTATTGAGGTTCAACTTTCAAATTCTTTCTTCCTCGATAGTTATCATTTAACAAGATATATTCACACCAGGAGATATTTTCTGGATCCGATCTTGTTCGCAAAAAAGGGAAAATAACCCATTTGTTAAAATTTAAAATTTACAATATGTTAAATTTTTCAAACTAAAAATGTTACGCTTGATATTAAAGTTGTTTATTATCTTTTAAACATATAGGGCCTTCTAATTTGAGGAAGTTTTCATGTGAAAGGATTTGTTTTTTTCAGGTGCCAAACAGGATAATAAAGGTTAAAATTTCATATAATGTATGTCTCAACAAATAGCTACACTTCAAAAGAAGTGTTGTGCCCATTTTCTGCCTATCACTTAGGCAAAGGTTGAATACAATAAACTCCCTGTGTACCTGTTCTGCAGTGAGAGGTTTTGTCAGAACTTCGCCAACTGTTGTAAACTTCTTGTTACAGAGCCACATTCTCATCTGTGATTCCTCGATACCTAGTAACTGACACATCAGTTGTAAATTCTTGTCTTTAGCCTGGAATGTAAAAATAGATGATTAGAAACATGTTAGCTATATATGAGGGTCTGGATGGGGTTTATAAATAGAGAATAATGGACAAGTGCAGAATAATGGAAAATAATAATAAAAACTATCATTCTGAAAGCATTTTTAATATGCAGTATTTACTTTAAATGTTTGTCCATCGATCAAGAATTGCAATAACAAATGCATGCAGAATTTTCTGCATTTATTTTCATATGTTGACAGTAAAAAAAAAATTAACTCATTAAACAATTAAAGAAAAATTATATATGAACATGAGTGCTACATGTATCATTCTGTTTCTGAGAGCCTGCAAAAAGCATTCTATCATACGTATAGATGATATATCATATGACTAATACTGATAAATATCTAAATTGTTATAAAGTACCTCCTACGCCTAATGACGCATCAATTATAAAATGTCAACAGGACTTGCATGTATATCTCTGAACCAACAAAACAGAATTATATAATAGGTTCATATATACAAAATTTTGTTAATTGAGGAAAATTTGTATTTTCATGGATATTTCATTATAATTTTAATGGATTTGACAAAGTCTCCTTTCAGGCCAATTGAAAATTTTAACTTTGTTAATAAACATCTAGACTTGCAGTTTTCATAACCACAAAATCCATAAAAGTTGTTATTCCACTAAAAAATTATGAATCCACAATATGCTGTAAAATGAAGGTTGATTACAAAGTACTGAAAATTCATGTCAACTTCTAAAGATATGTATCTATAACATGTGAAACTGCTAGCTAATGCTCACTGTGATACCCCCCCTCCCCCCCCCCCCCACAACTGGATAATTTTAATAGTGTAACAATATGTATGTGTTCAGTAAACAGGAAGCTGTTGAGTGATGAATCTGAAAACGAATCACACAGTATAGCTGACTTAAATAAACTCTGAAACCAAATTTCAGAAATCCTTATGATGTAGTTCCTGAGAAAGATGCCACCAAAAATATTCAAGGAACAGACAGGCGGACGGAGGGAGGGAGGGAGGGACGGACGTACAGACAGAGGTAAAACAGTATACCCCCACTTTTTATAAATACATATCATCATTTTCTAAATGTTTAGTACTTTGAAACTTCTTAATAACATATCTGTAATTGAGAATGGAAATGGGGAATGTGTCAAAGAGACAACAACCCGACCATAGAGCAGACAACAGCCGAAGGCCACCAATGGGTCTGTATGATTTTTTCAACAAAACTTACAGAAATATCTGATGTTTCTCCTTCTGCCTCTTTTATTCTCACATTCCCAAAATGTAAAATGGCTGCCAAAATCTGGAATATCATCATCTGATCTTTAGCAGAAATACCTATAATTGGAAATTTAACTGTTAGACACTTGACCTGATGGTGTCTCACAACAATTCATTTTGTTCTATGTTATCAACCATTTTTTTTCTTTTGACGTCAGAATTTTATATTAATGTCTGTGATATCGAGTAATGGTGTACAAATGTAGGTGATTTGTATTGACCTACTGCAAAATATAAATATCATTCAGAAACCAGAATCGCACGGATGGACTAACATACAGATGAATGAACATCTCTTTATTTTCATATTGACAGACATGTACATTCTTATGTGCTCCTCTCTTTGAGGGTAAGCTATAATTTCTTAAAAGAATGAATGCATGTAGATTTACTATGACATGACACATTATTGGCTTTCAAGTACTTGACTTTGAGCATTCCTGATGAAGGTAAATCCAGAAAAGAAAAACGCATCAGATGCGTTAAAATTATAAAGCGATGTTGGCATTTTTTACCAAGATCTTAATAATTAAAGAAGTAAAGCATCTCTGGTGTCACTAAAATATTATAAATTACCTAAAAGAAGTAAAGCGTCCCTGGTGTCACTGAGATCGTCTGCATCGTCCACACCATTAATAACTGGATCTCCTCCATGGGCCGTGTAAAAAAAGTCACCAGCTGCCACTGCAAATAAAAAAGACAATGAATTAAAGCTCTACCTTAAAATCATTTTAGATGTGTCAAGGGACTTATCATTTTTGGTTTGATGAGCTAAAATTTGTGTGGAAAAAAATCAATAATAATATAATTTAAGCATACTCAAATTAATTAGTATTGTTATTTCCCCAAATTATTGTAATATTTTTATAACTGAAAAAATATGAGAATGGTATCATTTATAATAACAAAAATTCCTTTGGAAAAAATTTCATGAAATTCATGTATTAATACTGTAAACCAACCTATTTTCTTGAATACATTATTTCTTGTTTTGCCATAAAAGCGGTAGGTTTGGCTAGCTACAAAACCAGGTTCAACCCACCATTTTTTTCTTAAAATGTCCTGTACCAAGTCAGGAAAATGGCCATTGTTATATTATAGTTCGTTTCTGTGTGTGTTACATTTTAATGTTGTGTTTTTGTTGTGTCGTTGTTCTCCTTTTATATTTGATGTGTTTCCCTCAGTTTTAGTTTGTAACCCGGATTTGTTTTTTTCTCAATCGATTTATGAATTTCGAACAGCGGTATACTACTGTTGCCTTTATTTGCCCTATTAGTCCACTTCATGTTTATTATTTTTTTGTGATTTTCAAATATATTTGATGTAGTTAAATAGAAAAGTTCCAAGCTTTATGTATTCTCCTAAATTTATATTCCCATTTTTTCTTCTCACGAAAAAGTCGCAAAAATAAATCACTTGCAAAAATTACTTGATTTACAGTATAGACTGATATATAGGGTTTCTGAGAAGGACTTACTTAACTGAAACTTTTTAAATTCTGGAAGATCACTGGAAGCACACATCTGATAAAATATATGATAATTTCTCTCATCTGAGGCTTGGTAGACTACTCTGTAATAGAAGGAGAATATTAGAGTCAAACTGATCAATAAATAAAAATCATAGATTGTAAGTAAACACAAGGCCATTTCAAATTTTGTTTCTTGACCTGTTTTATATTTGCAATTTGAGAAATAAAACATTTTGCATACTCAAAACAAATTATATAGTGTATTTATACTGGAATATTTATTCGATTGTCATGTGAGCACATTTTCAGTCCTTCATAACATGAAGTATAATCATTTTCTGTCCAATTCATCAATGAATTTGATGCGACTGTCATACTAAGTGAGAGGTTTAGCTATTTTTAAAACCAGGTTTAATCCACCATTTTCTACTTAAGAAAATGCCTGTACCAAGTCAGGAATGAGACAGTTGTTATCTATTCGTTTGATGTGTTTGAACTTTTGATTTTGCCATTTGATAAGGGACTTTCCTTTTTGAATTTTTCTCGGAGTTCAGTATTTTTGTGATTTTACTTTTTATGCAACACAAAATTATTTAAAAGTATACTGTGGTTTTGTCTACTTTAGTGGATACCAATTTTCATAGATTTAAAAAAAGTACTTTGGTTGATACTTTATTTTGTGTTTTGCAGAAATTCTTTGGGAACCTCACCCAAATAATCCATTAATAATGAATAACTTGATATATACAGCAAGTAAGTTCGTTTTTTTTTTCTTTTTCTTTATGACAACAGAAATTGGAAAAAAATATTGAACTAGTTTTTTCAGATAAGTAAGTTTTCATGTGAGAAATATCTCTTTTCATGATACCAGAAAAGAACAAAACATTTATCTTGATTTTTCAGTAAGTAAGACCTCATGTGAGAAGTGACCATCTTCATGGATACATACAATGGCCAAACATTTACCCTAATTTTTGCAGTAAGAGCTCATGTGAGAAGTGATAATCTCTGGGCCAAATCTTACCTTGATTTTTCCAGTAAGTAAGTTCTCATGTGAGCACCAATGATTTCATTTTTCTTGTTGAATGAGAGTTCTATGTATTTTCCAAATCTACTACTGTTGTCATTTCTTGTTGTCTTGGCATTTCCTATAGCCTATAAATAAACAAAAAAGTTCCTATATCCCATAAATAAACAAAAATAACTCAAAATAAAAAGTAAGAAGATATTGTATGATAGCCAATGAGAATTCTCTCCACCAGAGAGCAAGTGATGTAGTAAGGTCACATTAGGGCCTTAAACAATGAGCAAAGCATACCCAATAGCAAGCTATTAAAGTCCCAATAAGTGAAAAATGTAAAACAATTCAAATGTGAAAACTAACGGTCTAATTTAGGTTCAAAACAACAGACGAAAAACAAAACCTGTTTTGATGATTTTCAGTTTTTTGTGCTTTTATATATCAATCATGTGCATATGAACTTATGTATGGGTGAAACCTTTAGAATAATTTATAAAGTATTCAGTCTATATAATTTTCCATTTAAGAATCTAAATGACGATGAGACAATTTACAAGGAATTCATTAATTGTACAAACAAGACGAAATGACCTGATGGGATGGGCTGAGTTAACATATTCAGTAGATTTGTTCTCAAATTTCAATTGACAGCAAGATGGTGTAAAGATAAAAAAGCCATTTTCCAAATATGGGGCACTAGACATAATGTCCCCATTCAAATCAGGCATATAAGAATAAGAAAATTCTTATAATGCAATAGTACACTTACCTCCATAATGGGATTGGAAGCCAGTACTCTTTTTTCTACTTGTGTCTCTGCCTGAGATCCTCCTACCATGGCAAAGTATCTCATGGCATACTTAGCAGAAACAGTCTTCCCGGCACCAGACTCTCCACTCACAATAATACTCTGATTCTGCTCAAATCTGTAATACATTATAATTATAATACTTTTATTTAAAAGTAAATTCTTAAATCTTCTTAGAAATCTTTAAATGTGATTGGATTTAATAACAGCACATAATATAGAAATTACATTTTTTATTCTAAAGGCATGTATACTGTGTAAATTCCATATATCAATGTATATTCAAGTATGGTTGCAATCCCAATTAAGCATATGAATACCCCTCTGGAAACCAAGATGACTGACAGACCAGTCAAAACTATATACCCCTGCTACTTCATAACATGAAGTATAATCATTCATACATAAAATGATTTCTTATTAAAAAGTAAAATCACAAAAATACTGAACTCCGAGAAAAATTCAAAAAGGAAAGTCCCCAATCAAATGGCAAAATCAAAAAAAACAAACACATCAAAAGAATGGATAACAACTGTCATATTCCTGACTTGGTACAGGCATTTTCTTATGTAGAAAATGGTGGATTGAACCTGGTTTTATAGCTAGCTAAACAACTCACTTAGTATGACAGGCGCATCAAATTCATTGATGAATTGGACAGAAAATGATTATACTTCATGTTATGAAGGACTGAAAATGTGCTCACATGACAATCATGTGTTATCATCTTAAAACAGTTCTTTGTCCAAACTATTTTTTCATTTAAGATTTTAAGTATTATCATTATATCTCAAAAGACATTACATTATGCATTCACTTGAAAACCCTAAATTATTCATTTATAGATTTAGGAGATAACTGTATTGTATTTTAAGCTCTGGCGGCATCAATTAGTGATTTGATGGTCCCAAATTAAGTTTACTGGCGACGCGTTAGCTTAAAATGCAATATTGTTATCTCCATTCTAATGAAACTGACAGAAAATAACGATAAAACATACATTTAAAAACTGTCATACGTCATCTGAGCTTGCGCGTACATTTTCATAGCATCAATTGTGAATTGATGCCATGAAAATTGGTGACGTTATCCAATCAAAAGAAACATTACAAAAGATGTTGCATTAGAATGTTTGATTGATTGTTGGTGTTTAACGCCAATTTTAGAACTCTTGGTTATATCATAGCAACCAGTTTTGGTGGAAGAAGTCTGAGTACCTTGAGCGAACCACCAAACTTCAACAGAAAACTGGCAATCCTAGTCCATTAAAATCAGAGTCAAAAGCACTTTGCCATCACCATGAGTTTACTTTCGAACTCACAACCTCAACAGGCTAGTGATCACTATAGATAAACTACTTACAAATGTACACCACTTAAGTCACTGAGGACACTCTTTATCTATGGAAGATTTTACAAAATTTTCAATCAAGCATTTTAAAAAACAATAGGTGGAAATCTTCAGTTCACCACTTTCAAAAAGGATCTTTACCTAGACATCTTTTTATAAGCTTCTTCAGCAACAGCAAATATGTGAGGGTCCATGGCCCCCATATCTTGCCCACTGTAGGCCTGGATGATCTCATTTCCGTAAATGGGTAGGTCAGCATATGGATTGATAGCCACGAGTACAATTCCTACAAAAAATGACCATGACAACAAGGATTTCGGTAAAAACAGAAAACAGAGAGCAAATAAATGTTTGAACTATTGAAGAAATAATGACAAATCTAAACTTTAATTGTAGTCTTGAATAAGGAATAATATTCATATTTCTTTAATTCTTAAGTCAATTTATTCTTCCCCTGATCACTTCAGTTTTTTTATAATCAATGTGTGGTTTATCTAATCACATTTCTTCACTACTCAAAAATCAATTATGACGTCTATATATTCTTGCTTTCCTCTAAATTTGCCATTGCGACTACACAGAGAGAAGGAATTTGTTTGCAGATGATACAATACTTCTCTGCTCGGTACCATATTATTTTCAAATTTAAAACTGCCACATTTTTGTCAAGAAATTATAAAAAAAAGTTAAAAAAAATGCTATATTATTTCTTTTTTTTATATCTAATGTAATGGAAAATTTTACTTGCTTAAAATACAGATCCTGTATCCATTCTTTGCTTACAAGGATCTGTGACCACTTTTCTTTCTACTTTCTATATCAAAGAACTTTCAGGATCCTCTTGATTGTCGAATTACTACAAGCCTACAAAAATTTGTAGCAAAGCTAGGGACACAGGATCTGTTTAACCAGATTGGGGTAAATCTTTGAAGCAGATTTTTAGTAATGATGAGTAACAATGTGTAGCTGATTGTATCCTTATGGTGAAAAGCTGACACACATGTATCCTTGAAGGATATTGTAGTTGAAAAACTTACCACAGTATGTATATATAATGTTTTGGTCCATGAATCTGACCTGCAGATTGTACAAAACTGGAAAGAAAAGAAAAATCTACATTAATATCTACACTACAAAAAAGAAAAGAAAACACACTGCATCAAAACATGGAAATTAAGACACGCTGCATCAAAACATCAAAATCAAGACACACTGCATCAAAACATCAAAATCAAGACACGCTGCATCAAAATCAAGACATGCTGCACCAAACATCAAAATCAAGACATGTTCCATTAAAACATCAAAATCAAGACATGCTGCACCAAACATCAAAATCAAGACATATTGCACCAAAACACAACTTCTGTCATTTGGTCTCTGACTGAGAGTTGTCTCATTTGCAATCATATCCCATCTTCTTATTTTTATATTGCCATACATTGACAAGCAAATGGAGAGTTTTGAGTAGTTGTTGTTTCAATGTGGAGGCTGAAGATTTCATATCATGTGACATTTTTCTTTGCATGGATCTGCTATGTTTTTCACACTGGTGAATTAAAGCAAATGGAATGATTTTAATAGATTTCTATGTAAATATAAGAAAACACTTTTTTATTATTCCCTGAACCATCGATGAAATCCTACCACATAAGTTCATGTTTTCATGCAGATGCAGTTAACGTGATCATGACACAGCATAGATTTCTGACACTAACATGTGATTTTTGTGTGTAAAATGAAACAAGTCAAGAAAACAAGAGGCTCTCAAGAGCCTGAATCGCTCACCTGCATTTCAGAGGAGAAGATTTTTAAATGTTAGCAAACTTGATGAACAAATTGTGTAAAATTGTCTTTAAAGGGCAATAACTCCTTAAGGGGTCAATTGACAATTTTGGTCATATTAACTTTTTTGTAGATCTTACTTTGCTGAACATTATTGCTGCTTACAGTTTTAATATATCAATAATAATATTCAAAATAAAAACAAAAAACTGCAAAATTTTGTTAAAACTACCAATTCGGTGGCAGCAACCCAACAATGGGTTGTTCGATTCATCTGATAATTTCAGGGCCGATAGATCTTGACCAATTAAACAATTTTACCCCATGTCACATTTGCTCTAAAAGATTTAGTTTTTGAGATATAAGCCAAAAGCTGCATTTGACCCTTATGTTCTATTTTTAGCCATGGCAGCCATGTTTGTCGATGGATACAAACTTTGGATACAATTTATAAACAAGATACCCTAAGGAACATTTATTTAAAGTTTGAAGGTAATTGGCCCAGTAGTTTCAGAGGAGAAGATTTTTAAATGTTAGCAAACTTGATGAACAAATTGTGTAAAATTGTCTTTAAAGGGTAATAACTCCTTAAGGGGTCAATTGACAATTATGGTCATATTAACTTTTTGTAGATCTTACTTTGCTGAACATTATTGCTGCTTACAGTTTATATATATCTATAATAATATTCAAAATAATAACAAAAAACTGCAAAATTTTGTTAAAACTACCAATTTGGTGGCAGCAACCCAACAATGGGTTATTCGATTAGTCTGAAAATTTCACAGCTGATAGATCTTGACCAATTGAACAATTTTACCCCCATGTCAGATTTGCTCTAAAAGCTTTAGTTTTTGAGATATAAGTGATGGCATAAGCTCACATGGGGCCCTTTGGGCCCCGGTGAGCTAAAAACGACTATTTCGGCACTATCATGAGAAAAGTATACATTAAAAATCTCTGATTTCTTCTCTGCTAAAATTTAACTAGGATTTTATATTTCTCTCCTTTTATTTAACCAGGTTTCACCCGAATAAATTGGGAAAAAAAAATACAAATATCAATTTTGCACCCCCTCCCAAATTTTTCATATAAATCTTGATATGAATCTAGGTGTATTTTTATTAGGGCCTTATTCCACCCTTTAATACTTTGAACAAAGTAAACTTTATTTTATTATTCTATATTTTAACACATAAGCATAATTTACCTTCTGGTTCATTGAGATAACTTAGTGATGTCAAATCATTTTCACCAATCAAAATTTCTGGATTTCTCAAATGGGGAAGGTTGTTTTTATCTTTGATCGCCAGAACTGAATCCTTCAAAAAACAATTATTAAAACATATTATATAAAACCATTAGTTCATCTATCATGTCTAAATTTCTTTTGTTTGAATTTTTGTTAGTTTGAACTTTTTTAGTCAGTGTTGTTGTAGGTCTGTGATGTATGTTTACACAGTTTTGGCTGCTGGATCTAAATTATTGTCACAACTGCTACGTCTGTTTGGGTTCCTCCCCAATTTTATACATATAATGGAACTATAAGCAACTGTCATACAAGTGGGAGGTTAAGCTAGCTATAAAACCAGGTTTAACCAATAATTGTTTTCAGAAAATGCCTGTACCAAGTCACTTTGACAGTTGTTTTTCACACGTTCTGTTGGTTGATAACATTTGATTTTGTCAGTTTTTATGGACTTCCCCTCTATAAATTTTTCTTGGGAACTATGTACTTTTGTTATGGTTTTTTCCCTATGAGTTTAGGTATGTCTAGATCTGTCCCCTGTACTGCTAATACTTTCACATTTCTTTAGATTTGTTTTCATCTTGTTCTATTTTTCTGGTTTAAAAATGTGAAAATGATATTTCAGCTATATCAGGTATAACAAAAGAAATATGGAGTAGACGCACGGACTAGAAAACAGACGCACGGACTAGAAAACATAACTACACACTACTATAGCAAAACAATATTCTAAGTTTGTGAATATAACATTTTGCCAAAACAGTGTCATATTTCTGCCATTGTAACACATGTTCATTTCTCATTTATTTCACACCTGTTATATTTTAAATCTTCTCATTATTTAGATCTGACATTTAAATCATCTTAATTCAGATTTTAAATTCAAACAATCATCAACAAATACCTAGATACATGTAAAACTTTTTTTTCAAAAGTAAAATAAATTAAAATTTAAACTAGCAACATTAAATACCTAGCTACATATACAACTTTTTCAAAAATAAAACAAATTAAAATTTAAACATGCAATCTCTCAGTACATTGATATTTATTTTGAAACCTGAATGGAATTTCGCTTAAAAACATTTTAACATTCAGGAACCTGTAATTCAATGGTTGTTGTTGGTTGCTGTAAAGCTGTAATATCCCCCCCCCCCCCCTTATTGTTGTGTCTAAAATCCAGCAATCAGTTTTTTTTGCTTGAATTATTTCACATTATAAGACTATATACAGTATGAGCTAAGCTTATTGTTGAGGGCTGTATGGCAACCTTTAATTTCTTAAATCTACGTTAAAGGACTCTGTTGTATAGTTGTCCCATTGGCAAACATACCACATATCCTTATTTTATAAAAAAATATGTTTTTGTTATGTTCAGACTTTATTAACATCTTTATTTTTCAAAGGGTTATCTATCAATGTATATGTAATAAAGTTTTGTGATAAATTACTTCAGTTGCATAGTGAACGTTCTGTTTCTTGTCAAATTAACATGTACAAGGTATATAGGTCGCTATAAAATTTCCTTTGTTGAAAACAATACTTTTTTACACTTAGGAATTTGTTTGTATTTGCTCAAATTTTACGTTTAATTTTCTTGCCATGGTTGATATTAATTAGGATGTCCCCTCCCCTGTTTCAAAATAACAAACTTTTTAAAAGACTATTATAAATTGATAGTTTATAAATAAGGGAACTTAAAAAGTAGAATAAATTACAGGTCTGTTTCCTTGTTTATGAGATATAATCAATTGAAAATTTGGCAGGAAATGATTCTCTCTAGATTTTTCTTACATTTAACATTAGCACCTTTTTACTTTCTAAAACTATGAAAAAATAACAAGGATTTTATAAGATTTTCAAAAATTGGTTTATAAACTACATGTATATGTAATAAAAGAGGGTGGTAAAGGGTTATATTTGTGCAACGTGTTTTGCCATTTTTATTTCACGTGCAGCCGTGAAAAAGGTTCGTTATTCACTGTGTTTCGTGAAATCGGTAAAAAGATCAACGTGCAAGAAATTTTTAATTGTTCGTTCATCGTGAAATAGCAATTTTATTTCGCGTTCTTCTGTGCAGATACCCCCCTTTACGCCCCTCATAAAAGTATGCAAAGAAAAGTGAGGGTTAGTGGGCAAAATTTTTATTGGTACTACATTGGACAAAACCAGAGGATTCCGAATATCTGACAAAAAAGTCTAAAACTAGAGTAGCAAACATCCTTAACTGAAATACTGTGGATTCATTATTATTCCTTAGATACCAATTTTCATGGATTTCTTGGGTAAAGTTAAACCGCTAATTTAAATGTTCAACAAAGTATAAATTTTCTATATAGGCTTAGGAATCTGATGTACAGTGGTTGTCGTCTGTTTATGTAGTTCATACATGTTTCTCGTTTCTCGTTTTTATATAGATTAGACCGTTGTTTTTCCCGTTTGAATGATTTTACACTAGTAATTTTTGGGGCTCTTTATAGCTTGCTGTTCGGTGTGAGCCAATGCTCCGTGTTGAAGACCGTACCTTGACCTATAATTGTTTACTTTTATAAATTGTTACTTGGATGGAGAGTTGTCTCATTGGCACTCATACCACATCTTCTTATATATTGTATATAATGAGACAACTTATATCCACCAAAGTTCAAATGAAGTGGATGTAAGCAATTATAGGCAACGCCTTCAACAATGAGAAAACCCCATACCGTATAGTCGGCTATAATAGGCCCCGACATGAAAAATATGTAGACTTTGTAAAACCATCAAATCAAATATTCACCAAAATACAATTTTTCCTTTATCCACGAAAATTGGTACCCACGAAAATAAATGAATCCACAGTAGATTAAGAAATGACTGAATTTATACTGAGTTTAAAAACACCACTGAAGGTTCCTGATCTGAATATAAATTAACATGTGTGTGTGTGTTTTATCTCGTTTCTACATCTTGCTCGAAATTCTGTATCTGAAAATTTTTGTTTGAATCCCTCCCTGCTCCTCACGCCCCTAAAAAAAAGATACCACTACAAGATATTACTGAAAGTTTGTCATGTTTATAAGATAGTTTATTGATGTTGGTATAAAACACTCATTGTTTGGTTGCTGTCTTGTTGTCATATTCCTAAAAAGGCTTTCAATTATTTATTTATCATCACCAAATTCGGCATACTGATGAAGGTTAACAACAACCATTGTCAGGCTGCTGTCTAATCATCATGTATGTACATGTCACTTATTTAATTAAAATCTACATTCAGTCATTTGGTTTTAAAAATATATGACATTTACAAAGACTTTTTAAAACTTTTCATCTTTATCATGTGTAAAATTTGAAGTTCTGAAGAAGGTTTGCAATAACTGTTGTCAGACGGTTGTCTAATTATCACACATAGATCTGCATGTCACTTAATTAAAATTTCGTTTTAAAAATATCCCTCACGGACATTTTCAAAGATTTTTTACTTTTCATCATTATTTATTCATGTGAAAATTTGAAGTACTGTCATAATGAAGGTTTACAATAACTGTTGTCAGGCTGCTGTCGAATTATCACCCATATATACATCATGTCATTTATTTAAAATTTGCTTTCAGTAATTTTGCATTAAATATGAATCCAGGACATTTCCAAAGGCTTTAATCTTTTTTTTTAATCTTTATTATGTGTAAAATTTGATCGACTGATGAAGGTTTACAATAACTGCTGTCAGGCTCCTTTTTGATTATCAAGCATCTACATGTCAACTATTCGAAATTAGCATTCAGAAATTTTGTTTTAAAAATATGACTGCAAGATATTTTCAAAGACTTTCAAAATTTCATCATTATCATGTGTTATATTTGGTGTACTGAGGAAGATTTACAATAAAATTGTTGGGCTACTGTCTTATTATCATGCATAGATCTGCATGTCACTTAATTAAATTTTGTCATAAAAATATGACTCCAGGATATTTTAAAAGACTTAACTTTTCAAAATTATTATGCATAAAATAAAATTTGATGTACTGATTGCCAGGACTGCTGTCCAATTTACATGTATCTACAAATGTATATGTCACTTATTCGAAATCTTCTTTCTGTAATTTGTTCATTATCATGTATCTACAAATATACATGTTACTTATTCAAATCTGCATTCATTAATTTTGTTTTAAAATTTGACTCCAGGACTTTTTCAAAGACTTCATTATCAAATGTACATGTATATATATATATATGTAGTGATGTAGATCTCCATATTTAATAGACATGTCATTGCCTGCTGGACATTATTGATTTATCAACACAATGACAGATTTTATTGTTGCTTCAGAGAAACAAATTACATGTTAATTTCTTATTATGTTGTCAATTACAGAGGGTACACTTGTATATATATATAAATATTCAGGTAAACATGCGATGTCTTTATAATCTACTATGGACATGACTTACAATCCATATTTGTACAAAGGTCCATAAAGTGAAAATTAACTGTTACAAATTGGATGAGACAGGATATATATAGGTTTCTACTACAGGCTGGTACAGGGACTCCCATTTAATATAAACTTATAAATAAATACAAATTAAAGTAAGGATACTGGGTGCATGAATATGAACCAACAATATTAGGGAATAACAAAAATACCCTAGATTCTTACTTCTTACACACACATATCCTTTTTCTGGGAGAAAAAATTAAAAAAATTCTGGCAATTTTTTTTTATTTTGCTATGTTTTTAAAATTTATGACAAAAAAGAGTAAATAATAAAATTTGCTCACCCACCCAATCTAAAATGAAATTGGATGAGAATCTAGGATTTTTTTTTTATAATGGACTAATATCGAGAAAAAAAATAACAGAGATATCTAAGGAAAAGTCCATTATCACTGTTCTTTATCTTGGAAGTTGCTATAATTAGGCTTACCATAAGTGTTCTAAAAAAAGCATGCTAAAATAATGGGTTTATCAGAACAATTCTGAAGACTAGAGTCTCAATAATTTATTTTTCATTTTACTCTACACTCTAAGGAATAAGATGTAACATGCAGTTAGTTTTCCATTTACATGTACTTTTTTCTACCTGTTCACAATCTTTATTCTACCTGTTCACTGACAAATCTACAGTTTTTAACATCAATAAAATATAATTATTCAACAAACAATCATTTTAAATTAAATCTAGAGACTTCCTGAAATGTCAGCAATTTATGTATTTCCTGAACATCATGAATGACCACAAATAAACGTGATAAAATTATAGCATTTATATTTAGTGATGTATTTTTTAATACTAATTACTATAAGCATTTAACTCCTTGGACTGTAAAGTTCATGTTTGACTGTTTTGTGTGTATTCTGTTTTTGATGCTGCAAAAGACTGTATATAAAATTGAGAATGGAAATGGGGAATGTTTCAAAGAGACAACAACCCAACCAAAGAGCAGAAAACAGCCGAATATATGCATGTATTTTGTTTAAAAAACTTTTAATCTTCAGTAATACTGCTGTGTTTGTTAGTTGAGATTATGTTTAAATTCTATGAACACAAGTAAATTTCACTAACACATGCATTGACATGTACAGTATAAAATACAATTAATCTTATTGTTGCTTTTCTTTTCCTCCTAAATTTTCTATTGTATAACAATGTATAAAAGAAAGATTATTTGATAAAACAAATTTTTCAGTTACGACAACTTTGTATAGATATCAGTGACCATATATATATATAGTACTTTATTGTACACGTAAAACAGAAGAAGATTTCAGGGTCTGATAAAGCTTGTGCACCTATGACCATGACTGATTTAGATATCATCACCAATGACCATGATCGTTGATACTGAATGATTACCATTGATTGTAATACACATAATATTAACTTGTTTTTACTCCTTAAAAATATATTTACACCAAGATGTCGTTAAATAAAATTGGATACCCTGCATTTATCATGCTTTTTGATAACATATTGTCAAATCGCTGAAAGGCCCCCCTCTTAAATTGTGGAAAACTACCATTCTGCATTGACAAAAATATCTTGGTGTAAATTAGATACACCCAATCGGGCTAACGCCTTCATAGGTGTATCTAATACTTATAATAAAAACTTTGTTTAAAAATAAAATATATAAAAGAGATGAAAGATATCAAAGAGATATTTAAACTTATAAGTCGAAAGCAGACTGACAATGTCATGGCAAAAAATGAAAAAAATTATCAAAAGATTTTAAGTTGTCAAATAATACTACTTCTTCAACTTATCTATCACACCTTTTATCAGATACATGACCAAACAATGAAACACTGTCATACGATTATTTGATAAAAAAAAAGCTTTCTTTTGTAAAAAAAAATGTTAAATGTTTCTTTGCCCTGTACTTGTCCTGAACTTTCACTTGTTTTTTTTATTACATTAACCATCAGGACTTTTTAATGGAAATAAAATCGAAAATGCATGGAACTTAATAAACTGGTCTCTGACCAGTTACCATCAGAATTCACAGTTTTTCTCAAATAATTTTTAACATGAACTCTTTGGGAAAAAATCCTTTTAAAATAAAGGGTTACAAAAAGTAAAGTCTTGCACCATCAGGGTTCTCACTAAGGCAAGTCCACGAGTCCTGGACTCATGAAAATTTGTCTGGACTCACCATTTTCAAAACGGGTGAGTCCAAAGATGCATCAAGATTGTAAATTTTGTATAAACTGAACACACATATCATCATTTTATAGCAAAAGTTTAAACTTAATCTGAATTTAATGTCATTTCATTGCTCTATTAGGTCATGGAGGCTAAAATAAAAAATCATATTGCAATAAAATATCTTCTTCTTACTTTTGGACTCACCATGGCCAAAAATGACAAGTCCCTGGACTCGCCTTCAAAAATCCTTAGTGAGAACCCTGACCATAGACTCTGATTATAATTCCTCTTATAAACAACTAAAGGTGGGATACTAGTACAATGATTTTTGTGGGAAATTTTATGGATACGATGACCAGTTACCATTTTTTTTAAACTTGCTATTAAATGATAGAATTTACATTTTGTACATGTAATCGGGACCATTAATGTTGTATTTTGCTTTTTGCGTTGCAAGAAAAGATGAAGGTATGTCAACAGAACCATACACATCACCAGTCTGACCACTAATTTGGTCCAATTTAAAAGCCTAGAAAGGTCCTATCCTCGCTCTGAATGTGAACTTCATGTTACTTGAAAATAACCACTTACACTGTATTGAACATGTGTTGAAGGGACGTATAGACTTCAATCTTGTAATTTATAATTTGTTAAAGTTCTTTTGAAAGAAATTGTATATTCTAAATCAAGGTTAGTTATTGCTTTGTCTACAACGCTAAGTTTTCCAAAATCATGGACCTCATAAAGTGATGACGTTATGTCCCTGTACATGTATCTTCTACAACGTGTTCAATTGATAGAAAAATTGAGCATTTCCCTATCTTAATCAGATCAAACAAAACAGGGATTTTACAGATGAAGTAAAAACATTTGAATGAAGATATAAGCAGTATGTTGTTTTACGCGATGCTTCCGTTGTTAAATAAGATGGCAGGTGACGTTAACTGGTAACTGACAGTAACTGGTCCTCGACCAATATCTTTTTCTACACATTCTTTGATTCTTAATTTGTTTTTATGCAACGTCATGGACAATATAATGACACCTACATGTATTGTTGTATGACATCAGAGGAGTGAAATTATTGTATTTATTTCACATGTGAAATTATCACTTTTTATTTTACTGGGAAATATCATTATTTCATTGCAATCAACATGATCAATGTTATACATGTTATAATGAGTATATATTTACTTGTCCAACATTATGTATATTACAGTAAATGAAAAACTTTTTTCCACCATAAAAATTGCTTAATTATCTCACCTCACCATCCTCATACCGAACTTTGACCTGTCCTGGTCCTTTGTAATCTTCCAATAGTTCAGCTCCTCGCCAAATAGCATCTGGGTCGGAAATCCATATCCTGGCACCCTGAAAAATAAACAAATATTAACATCAAAAGATTGATTACTTTATAAATCTGAAGTTTAACAAATGTTTAATACAGTATATATATTATTTATATTGCAATTTGCAATGATAAGTAATATTGTGTATTCTTTTATTCATTGGTTCCTAATTTTTGTGGATTTTATGGGTTAAGGGACAATTTAAATGAGAAAAATTCTATAGGCTTGTGCATTGTACATGTATGCAAACTTTGAAATCAAAGAAATGAAATATTTATGAAAATACAAGTTTTACTAAATCCACAAAATATTGGTTCCCATGGAAATAAATGAATTGACAGTACATAAAAAGAACAACTGAAATTCCTGAAAATATTGAACGGTACAATACACCATATTAACCACAAACAAATGACTCCTGTGAAATAAATGAAGAACATATGATGCCCCCGCTTAATGTTATAAAAGGGCATAACTCAAGAACGGTAAAAGTGACGCCACCCAAATTAGAACTTGATCTATGTTTTGTCATGTTTGTGGTAATAAGCATTGTGTATAGGTTTCATAACATTTGTTTTAGGCAAACTAAAGTAAGAGAACGGAAACCTATTTTGGGAAATACGGATGGAGGACAAGGATAACACTTTTTGCCCCATGTGGTGACGACGGGGGCATAAAAATAAACATACAATGGACAACAACAACAACACATGTCAAAACATGCTGATAAGATTAAAGATGGCCCTACAGGTTTTGATCCTTTTTTCATTTTTTCTGGATCTATAAAATCCAGAATAATTATATTTTTCGAAGTCTTATTCTGATTTACATAACACATGGTAATTCACACATGCATGATGGAGGCTCTGGATGGGGGTCCTTCATTTCTATATTCTTTATTTTTTTAGACTGTTCCTGATTTTTTTTGCCTATTTTTTCTATTCTTTTATTTGTTTTCCCCTTTACTGACTATTATTCTCTGTAAAGCACATCAAAATCCTCATGATTATTTGTTATTTCCAATGACAGCTTTTTCGCTATATCATGTATATTTAAAACAATTCACAATAAGTTCGCACCAAGGTACTTGTAACACTGGTACCCTTAAAGCATATATACTTTTCAAAGGTACATCGTAACATCAATTGAGCATCTTCAGAAATGTTCTATTCCTATGATGAAAGAAAAGAATTGACATGACATGTTCAATGTAAAGGATAGACACAGGGAATTTTTCGTAGAACTTTTGCCCTCTTTCGTGTCCACTCCCATGGTGGACAGTTTGAAATAATAAAATTCACATAAGTTGTAGCGATGCTAATCCACAATTGTCCATCATATTATCCTTTTTCAGACAGATTAACAAAGATATCCCTTTTATTCAATATCACAAGCAGTACTAGCGTAAAAAGTAAATTAACAAAATTAACGATCTTCAAGGGAAATTCAAAATGAACAGTCCTTTACAATATGGCAAAACCAAAAGCTCAAACTCATAAAACGAATGGAAAACAACTGTCATAATCCTGACTTGGTACAGGCATTTCCTTATGTAGAAAATGGATTAACAGATGTTTTCAATCTATCCACCAATAGGCATAAAATTCTTAATAATATTATCATTCCCTGTGTTCCTCATGTTTGTAAGACAGTAGACCCCAATGTTACAGACCTTTGTAAACAGCTCCTGAACATCAGAATCTTGCAGAAAACTTTGAAAATTAAATCTCCGGTAAATACTGTCACAATTCTTTAGTCGATTCATAGTTATACACAAAACTGTAGTTAATAGCTCAGTATTTAAATCATCATTAAATAATTATCCAAAATGTCAAATTTGTAATTTTGTTTATTAGTCATGATGCACCAGATACTTATATTAACAACAGCAGACAGAGGATTCAATAGGATTTGTTTATTTGTGTAAGTGGAAATTGGCAATAGATTTCTGATTGAGTTTATTTTTGGAACAGTTTAATTTCAAAGGGGGTTTAATCAATTGCTCAGATATTTAATACATGTAGCTGGAATAAAGGATTTATAATTGGTTATTCTATTTGTGTGGGGTAACATTTCTTGTAATCCAGTTCCTTTATGTAATAACTAGGGCTATTCCAGGAAAAAATGTATGAGAGGGTTGGACACCACATGATATTTCTATCTGTGTTAGTGGGAAGTTTTCTACAGGTGGATGCATGCTACAAATGAAAACAAAAGTTACGGGTGTTTGCTTATATTGATCGATTGGTGTTTAATGCCACTTTCAACACTATTGTGCTATTTTGTGGCGGTCAGTTTTTATTGGTGGAAGAAGCCAGAGTCACCGGAGAGAACCACTGACCTTCGGTAGGAAAACTGACAATCCTAGTCAATTAAGATTGGAGTCGAGTGCACCTGCCACGTGCAGGATTCGAACTCACAACCTCAGTGTTGAATGGCTAGTGATACAGTAGTTCGACTACTAAGACCACTCGGCCACTGAGGCCCCCTGTTAGCTTATATATATAGGGTATAAAAAAATGTTGTCACACCCCTATGATTGATTGATTGATTGGTGTTTAACGCCCCTTTCAGCACCATTGTGCTTTTTTGTAGTCAGTTTTATTGGTGGAGGAAGCCAGAGAGCCTGGAGAGAACCACCCACCTTCGGTAGGAAAACTGACAATCATAGTCAGTTAAGTTTGGAGTCGAGCGCACCTGCAAGGTGCTGGATTGGAACTCACTACCTCAGTGTTGACTGGCTAGTGTCAAACCCCTATGCATACTTCATATATTTTCTGGAATAGCCCTAATCTATTCAATGAAAAAAGCAATTACAATTACAATTTTTATTTTAAAACTATTTTTCTTTATATTTTAGTATACATCTGACTTACTTAAAAGTCTTTCTTAATATATGTACATTTTCAGTCTTCAATGTAAACTTTTTGGACCACATGCCCACACCCCATTATTCAGAATTGTTTGTATAAATTCTAATATTGGCCTGTAAGACTAATTTTCACAAGCCCACCAGGAAGTTAACAAGCCTCAGGCTTCAGACTACTGGTTTATCGTGAAGACTGCATTTTATTATTCCCATTGTTGTTTGTACCAATAAGGAAGGTACATGTACATATATATATGAAAATTCATTTTTGTAAATGAAATTGAAAACTAAAAAATATTATTTCATCAGATTCAGTTTATACTGTGGATTCATTTAAAATGCAATTTTCCAAGTTATAAAGGGGTATAACTCTAGCACGGTAGATTACTCACTGCCCATATTTGAACTCTGTCTGTGTGTTTTGGTTCTAAGCATTGTGTATTTGCATTTTTGTTGATATATTATTTCATGGTTTTGCCATGTTTTTGCATACAAGCCTATGGAAAATTTGTAGTTTGTTAAATATTCAATTTTGAAGTACACCTGTACCAACGAAGCCCATGAAAATTGGTATCACACAAATAATACTGAATCCACAGTCATGACAGTATGATTGTCAGTATTTATAACTTTTAAATTTGTTCTTACATATATATATATATATATTTAATATCAGGTTTCAACCCTTTTGTATTCAATAAAAAACTGTATATTGGGGCGGATCCAGTCATTTTTAAAAGGGGGGTTCCAACCATATGTCCCCATTCAAAAGCATTGATCGTCAAAATAAAGGGGGTTTCCAACACCTGGACCCCCTGGATCTGCCACTGTATTACTTATCAATTAACCTCATTTTGTGATCACATCATGCATAATTAATATCAACTTCAAGATATGTGCAACAATCTTACCAAAAAATAGTGGACTAGATGGCAAGCATGGAAAAACTCAGTTCTAGCTTTCATATATGAAAAGCAAATTAGGAAGACCCTCTTAATTTTTTAGGGTACACTACACTGGGCACCAATGCATACATGTATCAAAGCAGAATTCGACAGTATAAATCCATCATAAATTAATTTGGAGAAAGTTCAAGAATGTATTTGATTGAAAATTCTGTTATAAATAAATCTTTTAAAATGCAAAAGTCTAAGATATTTGTTATGTATTGTCACTATACATTAATTTCATGGCTAGTACACAACATAACGATTTTTCAGATTTGCTTAATTGCAATACAAGTACAAGTAATTAGGGAGGAACCATACCCTACTGGCAAATCTGCAGACACAGGTAAACTTTATGGACTTTATCTACATTTCGGTACATGTATCTACATTTACCTTATCGATATCTACGACATCCGACACTACATCAGAATCATAGGGAAAAGTGTCTTCTCATTATGAAACTGATAAAGAGAAGTGCTTGTTCGTTCGCAACACCTATAAGAGGGGCGTAAAGGGGGGTATCTGCATGGAAGAACGCGAAATAAAATTGCCATTTCACAATGAATGAACAATTAAAAATTTCTTGCACGTTGATCTTTTTACCGATTTCACGAAACACGGTGAATAACGAACCTTTTTCAGGGATGCACATGAAATAAAAATGGCAAAACACTTGGCACGAAAATAACCCTTTACCACCCTCCTATAATATTTGGTTTTTACTATGTGAACTTAATTTATATACTGCCATTTGTATCCTTTTTATTCTTTTTTGTATTGTTCATATCCCATTTTATTTCACGCTTGGGAAGTCAGTCAGGGGTACTACTTGTACAAGTAATTTTTATTTACTTGAAGAAGTAATTATAATATACTTATATAAGTAAATTTGTAGGATACTTATACAAGTGTATTTTATTTACTTGTATAAGTAAATTATTTTTAGGCCTAGTTATGTTCCTTAGACATTCAGATTTGTTTACTTATACAAGTAAAAAAGTCATCCTATTTTCTTTTCTTGAATTCTTAGAACTTCTTTGCTATAACAGAATTTTGAATTGTCTGTCCTTTGCAGATATCTTTACTATTCATTTAAGTGTAATTTTATGGACAATGAAAATCTCATTTGTCTGTTATCTTTAGAACACTGCTCATTTACAAGCCCCCAAGGAGCAATTTTTGAAGGCCTTGCGCAAATACTTAAGATCTTTGCTCAATCAGTTTCTTTGTTGAATTAATGAGATGAAACATTGAACTCTTATCAAAAATTATGAGCTAACCTGAGAAAGATTGTTAAAGGTATGATTTTAGATCTCAAAACTGAGAATTTTTGTGGGATTGTAAAAAAAATTTACTTAAACAAGTAAATTTTTTAGAAAATTAAGGGGAGATTATTCAAACAATATAATTAACTTGTATAAGTATATTTTATTTACTTCTTCAAGTAAATAAAGATTACTTGTACAAGTAGTACCCCTGACTGGAAGTTGGGAGTATCATAATAAACATTATAGTAACAGAACAATTGTCACAGTGAAGTCTTACATTTTTTGTAAATTGTCATTTTGGTTTTTCCAAAGTATGTCCATCTGAACTGGGCAACCTTCCAGATTTTTGCTAACCCTGGTTATTCTCCTGTCAGCTGAGCCATGCATTTGTCTATAGTTATTGTTGTAATAATACAGATTTCATAATTCATTCATACATGTCATAGCTTATCCGTCTACAATCTCTGGTTATCATGAATATTTCAATTGCAGACAAATAAAAATTTATAAAAATAAATAACAAGTGATTTGGAAAGGAATATGATGTTTTTAATGCAATAACTCGAGCAAACTTTAACTTGCATGACTTAATTAAGGCTATTCTAATCACATTTTCATGAAGTAACCAATAAATTTTTCCCAAATCAGAATTTTTTAATGTAAGCTCATGTAACTGGGTTGCTGGAAGTGAACAAGATAAAATAAAACATTGATTTGTTGGCATACAAATTGTTCCTTTGATGAGGATGATGGACTGCTGCTTAACATCCAGCGGCAAATTAATATGCATATTCAGGACGAGAACATGTTAATGTAATATGAAATTTACCCCTGCTGTGTACTAGACCGACACGCTGAGCAGGATTTTTAACGTGTTAGTTCACCAGGTAATAGTCCTCATGAAGACATGTCACTTGACCTGGACACATTATTCTGACTCCGAGCTGACCAGTCTTTGCTCCTACTCCTTAAAGCTGTGTGCTTAGCGGAGAAGCAGCAAATACCAATTTTAAAGTCTTTGGTTTGAACCGGCCGGGTTCGAACCCACACCTGCACATTTGAAGCACACTTCCACGAGACCACCGAGGCGGTTTGTTCCTTTGAAATAACATATGACCAATCTACAAAATCAATGCTTGCAAGTGTTTCTTGAGAAATAAATTGTCTTACATTATGTCTGTACATTCCTTTACTTATAATGTTTTATAAACATGATAAATTAAAAATTGTTGTTTTTATCAACTTAATTGGCCAAAATATAACATTACCAATGATCATTGTGAACACCTGGGCCACTAGATATCACGTTTGGAAGTCATGGAAAGTAATTTCTTCATCCTAGTAGCGTAAACCCTGACAGGACCTAGGACTATATAACACAGGATTATGGATTTGTGACATTTGACATTCTGACATTTCCTTCTGTGGCATCAATTTGGAACAGAAAAATCTTTGAAGCGCACAGAAGCAACCGACCAATATTGATAAGGAGTATTGTATCTAGGCTAGTTTAAGTTTTGATGCAAAATTTATTTGTGTTTGTGTGTTTTGAAGCTTCAACAGAATAAATGGTTCTAAGAATTTTAATAATTTATTAAATCGTTTAGTGACCAGATCCTTAAAAATCAAATCCCGTTAGCTTGGGTCATTGTCCACAATCTGTCAAACGGTATATATAAACACAACAGTATATCCTGTTTAAATGGGCGTATTTACCTTCACATAAAGTTCATTTGCCGTCATTTTCTGACTAGAACTTCTTTTGAGTCAAAAAGGTTATTCTTCAGGGGTTTACATATCCCAAGTAATTTGTCTAATCCATTTGTTAAGATGGTTCTATATTGTCTTTAAAAATATGACCTCCTCTTCCACCCACCGAATATTATCAAGATATCTTGATTATGTGTAAACTTGTTTTACCTGTGACAATATCTACATTGACCAGGTAACGATCAAACGCTTAGATGATAAAGAAAATCTCGTGTTTCTTCGGGCAATTACGTTGATTAAGTTGTCGTGAATAAACTTGCTAAAAATAGATTTCTCGTTGCTTACTGTTTTTTAAACGCGATAGGCTATAGCATTTCGTTTGCTGGTATTTATAGGGTGGGAGCATATATTGAGGCCATACATAGATCCTTTGTGGGGTGGATGTAGTAAAGAGAGACTTTTTTAAAAGAAGGAAAGGTGTGGGGTTACATGAAGCCTACATGAAGGGCGGTAAAAATTATATCAAAAATCATATAAACGGCAAAACTGAGTCTCTGGGTGACTAAGGAGACAAAAAACTGGAATGGAGTCAAATAAATGTAAACTGAGTCATCAAGAAATGTGAATAAATGCAGTAAAATTACTTTTAAATAAAAGTTTTTAAAAATCTGTAATCAATTATAACAATGAATAACAAATGTTAATTAAGATAAAAATAAAAATGAGATAAAAAATGTGGAAGTCGGTTACAGTAGGGATAACTAAATTATTTTAAAACACGGGCTGTGAGTTACCAGGGCTCCATTCCAATTTTTTTTTGTTGTGTTCGAGTGTTTATACTTTATGGGCTCCACGGTCAACATAATAGGCTCTTAATTGGCTCCACTGGTAGGACACCGGACTCACTAATAGAGTAGGTGGATGGGATCTGAGGATGGGGTTTACAGAATAGAGAATTATTTATTTCTGTTTATTGACAATTCGGGACAGAATTTAATGATGATTACATCTTAGTTACGTGACTAAACAGGAAACTAAATAAGATGGAGACCAATAAACGTCATTTACTGATGTGACATGGCTATAATATTGGTTGCTAAATATACAGACCACACATTCTAGAAAGAATAAAAAGTTAGTAATTAATTATATAATCTATACACAATAACCCCGGCTTTCAGATGTGCATAGATCCTCAGCATAGTTCACTAAACAATATATATATATGGAAATCATCACAGTACAGTAAGCGGACCAAACTAAAACTGTACCAGAGTTGTGTATTACCTACTCTGTTATACTGATAAGAATGCTGGTATATGACAGAACTCGATCTAAACAAACTGTCAGTTTTTCATACCAAAAGCTTAAGAAGAATCCAATGAAGACCGTCTAAGACCACGGCTGTCATTCGGTATATCGAGAGAAATGATCGTGAAAGAATAACTTGCTAACGGTGGTCAAGCATTGCGATTGAATCGTGAAAGATCTGGTATCGAATCGTAAATGTAATTAAATGTAATTCTTCTTCAAAATCTGTGAAAAAAATCAGCTGAATCTTCAAAACGCGGAACAAATCAGAAAAAAAAATTGTCTGTCAAAATGATTCAACTTTCTCAACAATACTGTGCAATAAGATAAAGTTACATTGGACTCCAGTAAGTAAGTAAGTAAGTAAGTCAGTCAGTTGTGCATGTTATGAATTTACCAATTTTTAGATACAACACAAGGAACTATAAGGGAGCTACCATTTGATTTTTATGGGTGGGGTGGGGGGCTAGGATGAAAATTGAAAAAGGCAGGACAGGAGTTTTGAATAAAAAAAAAGGCAGGATGAGCAACTTTGACAAATTGCAATTTATGTAAAAAAGTCAGGATAAACTTATTAAAAAAGGCAGGACAGAATAGAGTGAAAAATAAAAAGGCAGGACAGAGATCAAAACTAAAAAAAATGCAGGACAACATTTTTCATCCTAGCCCCCCATAACAATCAAATGGTAGCTCCCTAACTGTCTGAATGACAGGAGATATACAGTATAGGTTAACAAGACAGAAACACAACGACAGAAATAACAAAACAACATCTAGAGGACAACAGACTTCTTTCATCAATATAAAGTAAAACATTGTCAGTGTCACCATTGGTCAATCAAACTCTAAATCGTTCCATCTTCGCGAAAACTGTAATCAAAGATCGGCCTTTAAAACTCGATGTTGAATGTCAGAAAGTACATAACAGTCACATTCGCATATTATACAGGACCCAACACATCGTGTTTCTGCATGCAGTACAGAATAGGACAAACTCTATGATGTCACGTGGCTCATATAAAGGGTGGGTGCTTCTTCAGGGGTCCTGACCCAGTCCTTCATGTTGTACTAAGGTTTGACTATCGAACTAGTCAGTACTTTTTTTAAAGTTCTTTTTAGTTCTTTTACAGCAAGCTATAAAGGGCCCAAAAATGAAAAGTGTAAAATAATTCAAACAGGAAAACCAACGGTCTAATCTATATAAAAAAAAAACAAGAAACGAGAAACACTTATGAACCAAACTAACAAACGACAACCACTGAACCACAGGTTTCTGACTGAAATGCATTAATTGCATGCATTATATCTTGATGGTTAAAAGAATATATGACAGGTCAAATGTGCTCATTATTTTACATTTGTCATTTCGGGGTCTTTTATAGCTGACTATGCGATATGGGCTTTGCTCATTGTTTCTCGGGGGAAAACTGGCATGGGGGCCATGGCCATATACACGGTGTATATTCGGAATCCTTGCTTTCCGATACGCGTAACGCTCGCTTTCCGATTTATGTTAACGAAGAAGCAGGAGACAAGAAATGAGGATAGACGATAATTAAATTGGATGGTAAATGGTGTTCTCTCTTGTATCTCACGGAACACTAGAGATATTTTTCGTGATAAAGATGTAATGCATGTCATCATAAGAATTTGTAATCATGTCGTAAACGGTTCCACAAATGCAACACTTCATCAGCGACGGTATAATGTATGAAGCGATGTTGATAAGTTTGACCCGAACTTATCATGTCTTCCGGTTTGCTGGTGAATCAAAGAAAACACTTGTTTCTATCATGCAAAATACACAAAGGCAACCCGATAAATCAATTATCTGGTTGTCTGTATATTCATATTGTCAAATATGAGCTGCTGGGCACAATATGAGGCCCTTTTGAACTCGTTCGCTGCGCTCAATTGTAAAAACTTCATATTGTGACTCGCAGCTGATATTTTACAATATCAATATGCAGGCAACCTGATAATCAGTACTTATCTAAGTGTTTTGAAATGATGAATTTGTAGAAAAATGCTATAAACACAAAAAAAACATAAAATAATATAGTTGCCAATGCAAAGAGGAATAACTCTGTATCTTTTAAAATCTATTGGGCTAAATTTATAGTATGTCATTCAGTTATAGAGAAAGTCCAAATAACTGTCCATTCCTGGAAATAATGGAGCGGAGGCCCGTAGAGCCATTCATAATTATTTGTTATTTTCATTTACTTATTCACATGTGCACATCAGGGGGGATCCAAGCATTTTTAAAAGGGGGGTTTCCCAACCCAGGATATAGGGGGTACCAACCATATGTCCCCATTCAAAAGCATTGATCTTCAGAAAACGGGGGTTCCAACCCCCGGACACCCCCTCCCCCTGGATCCGCCACTGCACATATATATATACTCTCCATGAACCTATTCACACGTCACATAATAGTATATACTTTACACAGCACCACTCATTAACCAGGCAGGGAATCAGCCATTCTTTAAGGGGAAGGGTGGTTCAACCCCCAGAACACCATGAAACGTTCAAATAAAACGAAAAATCTAATTAAAAAAAAATCGAAAAGGGGGGGGGGGGGGGCTCAACCACCGAGATCCGTCAATGTTAACATATACAGCATATTGATTACCGGTAGTTCAAAATTAAGGATGGTTGCTACACTGCTTCAAAATAACAAGCTTTTTACAAGACTGTAATAAATTGATAGTATATGAATAACGGAATCGAAAAAGAAAGAAAAAAATGGATGGTCCGCGTGCTTGTTTTTGAGATATGAGCCATTGAAAATTTGGCGGGAAATGATTCTCTCTAGATTTTTCATACTGTTAACATTGGCAGCTTTTTTCTTTTAAAAACAATGAAAAAATAACAAGGATTTAAAATTTTTTCAAATATGGCTTTAGAAACTATACTTTATTAGATTATGGATAGGAAAGTAGAGCTTAGTTGGCAAAAAAAAAAATAATGGCAATACATGGATAAAACCAGAGAATTCCGAATATCTGACAAAAAATCAATAACAAGAGGAGCGAACATCCTTAAATACCCTTGCCACGTATGAAATATAAATGAATATGTAACCTTCCCTTCACATTATACATACTACCCCTAACCATGCAAGATATACTCATCGTACATACTTATTTTGTCATTATGTTCACTAAGCTGGGTTTTTTTTTCTCAGCAATTAAGAAGAAAAATTGCCGGTAGTTCCATCTTTCGAAAATATCTGATCATATTTAAATAGAAATATTGACCCTTTATTAAACATCTGAGTGATTTATAAATGGTTTACTATGTTTAATGTTAGACAAATTTAAAATGATAAAATAAACATTAGAATGTTTCATAAATTCCAAAAATATAATTATCTAGTTTTACATAGCTAGGGGTTTGATTTTTATCTTACAACAAATATTTCAAATAAGTTCCAATTTCTAAGAGAGAGCCGTTCTACCACCCCTTACGTTTTTACAACCCTTATCCTATTTCATATTTCGAAAAGATGAAGTTGTAGAAATAGATATAAGAAGATGTGGCATGAGTGCCAATGAGACAACTCCAAGTCACAATTTGTAAAAGTAAACCATTATACGTCAAAGTACGGTCTTCAACACGGAGCCTTGGCTCACACCGAACAACAAGCTATAAAGGGCCACAAGATGACTAGTGTAAAACCATTCAAACAGGAAAACCAACGATCTAATCTATATCAAAAACGAGAATCGAGAAACAATTATGAACCACATCAACAGACGACGACCACTGAACATCAGGTTCCTGACTTAGGAAAGATCTATTTTGTTTGGGGACTTCTGTCCAGAGTGCTGAAGTTGTAACATGGTAGCATTCCTGTTATATTGGATCAAAAATA